GGTCAGATTATACACAGCGTGTATGCTAACTACTTCAGAGCAAACTGAACAGTTGTGTCTAATTTCGAGGCTCCCATAAACTGAATTTATGTTGCCAAGCTGATTTCTCTCATCTATGCATAACAAGCGCATTGCTAATTAGCATGTAGCACTGGGTGTTGGGATGTTTGAAAAACAAAAACACAATCAGTGAGATACGCTCCTCATTGGCAGTTTTGGCCCTTTGGAGACTCGTCGAAGGTCTGGTGAGATTTTCCGCCGCTGCCGAATGAGAACCAGTGAAGGTGTCGCTTGGTGGCTTCACGTTGTCAGAATGTTATCTGCTCTGCTGGGAATAAAGTCGTCACATTCTTAGACTTGGAATGTCAGCGGAACAAGGCCGCAATGCCTCGTACTTATCACCTCCACATAGGTGCTGAGTAAAAAAAAAAAAAAAAAGTGGCATTATGAGCCTTGAAGTGCTGTGAGATTCCCGTTATTATCATCATTTTGGTTGTCAGCCAAAATGACAATATTAAGTCCTCGGGTGGTGCGAGCTTGCCCATATTTGGATGTGGTTGCTTTGCGGCCTCAGCGACTGGTCTATTGCTGTTAGCACTCTGAAATCACTCCGCCAATATTAGATCCTATTTGTCATCTCTTGCCCTTCTGAGATGCCCTCACCTTCATCCGGATCCAACTATTCTCCAATGGGTTTTATGCAACACTTGATTGGTAGACTTTTGTTCGGCCTTCCCTTTTTTTCTTGTCGCCGATAATGCAACTGGCAAATCAACCTCTTGCTATCCCCCCCCCTCCTCAAACAGGTGCAAAATCTCTTCGCTCAACACATCAAAAGAACCCCCCCCCACACACACACACACACACGCACACACCTGCGAATAAATCACAGCCAACGCTAAGAATGAAGAGAGCAAAGAGTGTGTGGATTTAAAGCCCCGTCTCGTTTCATATTCATGAGGTGCAAAGCTCTAGTGCTCCCCGCGCTTGTTTACCGCCTTGTACTGCCTCGTGTCCTTGGGAGCAGGTTTGATATTCCACCAAGCAAACGTGTTGACATAAGCTTGCCATTTTGCCTTTCGACACGATGCACATGATGCACTGCACACACACACGCACACCCACACATACACACAGACGCACACATCATCCAAGGTGCCCTCCTATGACGCCTTGTTAGGTATTAAAAGCCGTCCCTTGTGATGTTTGTAGCTTGCGTTGAGGCGTTGAAAATATTTTGACTGACTTATCTCACTGAGTTAAAGCGGCAAAATACTAGACAGCTCTCATTATGATGCAGAGAGATTTATGCCCGAGTACTGACAATAACACTTTAAAAATCAGAGATGGCAAAAGTACTCACATTGTGTACCAGGGTTGGGCTTGGCATGAATGATGCAAACACAGGAAATTGCCTGGGGCGTCCAAATGTCTTGTAAAAATGGATGAATGAAGTTGTATTCACTTTGAAGCAACCAAAAGGTTGAACAAGTTGTCAGTGTTAGTTGAGGATGGAGTAGAGATTAAGTGAAGGCTGACACAAGGGGTGCTTTTCATTAAGAATCTAAAAAAAAAAAAAAAATGGTCAACTATATTTAATTTTTTTTCCCAACGTCAGTAAAAGTGAGATTGTTTATTTGTTGGATATGAATTTAAGTTAAAGGACTTTATCTAGGTCAGGACATACGAGAATTTTCTCAATTGCCGCTCTGCATTTTGAAAGTTGGCGCTGGCCTGTCCCAGAGCCTTTTTTTGGGGATGAGTTGAATCAAACAAAACATATTTGATACGGTTGTTGGCTTCCACAAAACTATCAGAGCGATAGATTTCCATCCATCCATCCATCTGCTTCTCCTCATGAGGGTCGCGGGGGTGCTGGAGCCGATCCCGGCTGTCTTCGGGCAGTAGGCAGGGGACACCCTGAACTGGAATTCATTAACGGGTTTTTTGTCTTCCCCAACACTTCCAATTCCATCACTTCAGACTTCATTTTGTGCTTTGGCTTCAAAAATCAACACACATCGAGGACCATCATCGCGACCAAAAGCACAAAACCCTCTTTTAAAAGTGGCAGCCTGCACTGTGAACATGCAATTTAGCACCGGCTATTAGTTCAAGAGCACAACCTGAGTAAACAGACCCACAAACAGTACCCGCGGTCTATGACGAGCATTTTAGCGCCTGCGATTTGAGATCTTAGTGAATCAGGCCAAATTAAACGAAACTAAAAATGAGCAAGAATAAATTAAGAATTTGTCTTCGTAAGGTTAGCCTAAGATAGCTAGCTAGTTAGCTAGCCTAAGCTAAACCTACATACTGTATCCCCCAATAACATCAGTAGCATATAGCATTTTAAAAAAATCTATTTCGATTGTTTACATGTGGGTACAGTGTCGATTTTGCCGTGTAGGCAACAGAGGCACTTCAAATAATGAGTCTATTTTTTTTTATTTTATGTTTCATGATCAAGTGGTTGATGTCTTTTACAGTTGTGACAGTTTCGAGTTGAACGTATTAAGACGACGTGAGCGCTATCCTTGCAACTGTGAAACCGCAGCTAATTAATACTTGTGAGCCTCTCCTCTCCCCGATGAAGACTTAAGTAGCAGCTGCTGCCCCTGAAAGCACTCTGCAGGGAAAAGCAAGCAGCTTTTAGGCTGGGGGAGTGCTGCGCCTCCCATAAGTGCTTTTCTCACATTCGCTCCCGCGCGTCCCCCTCTGGAAATAGCTTTGTTCATCTCACATGTTCTCATTTGTATTGATGAAGAGCTAGTTGACTGCCTGGGTTTCTCTTATCCAAGAAATGAATTAAAAAAAAAAAAGCCAATTAGTCATTTTAAACAGGGCTATCTGACATCGTGCTGGTGCCCTCTGTTGGTGATAATTTGAACTGCTGGCAATGTCAACGTATACAATTTCTTTTTTTGCAATTGTTCAAGTCATACTCATTATGTTCAAATTTTACGCACATAAATATTGGATAAGTAGTTCATATCCTTTAACTAATTTGTCAAAACAGGAAGGTTAAGGTTATTGCTGGTTGCTGCTGATGGGCTGTATGTTGAATATCACACAACTAAAATTCTATAATGGGCGGCATGTTCTCTCTGGGCCTGCGCGGGTTTTTTCCGGGTACTCCGGTTTCCTCCCACATTCCAAAAACATGCATGGCAGGCTGATTGAACACTCTCAATTGTCCCTAGGTGTAATCACTATCTCTGATGAGCACAATGTGTTTTATTTACTTCTTTTCCTCATGGTGGTGATATTAAGAGGTGGGTTAAATCTTGCAAAATGCCCACTGAATGCCCAACGTTCCAAATCATCCAGTCCACCACAGCAGTTTACAGAGGTCTGGAACCCGCATTAAGATTGGCGAAGCCCAGCACTTCCATACTGTCATAGTCATCGTAAGTGTCTTGTCCGAACCACATGAAGTCTCCTCCATCCAGAGGCGCCTGCGCGCACTTCCTCTTGTGATCACGTGCAAAGCGCCGGGCCCTGGTGGGTTCCACGGTAGGTTGCGATGCAAAGTCAGCGCCGTAGACTGAATTTCTCTCAGTGGTGGGTGGGATCCCGTGTTGGCACAGGCAGAAATGTGACTTGTGCTGATTGATCTCCTCGGGACATTTTTTACGGCCTGCACCCTGACGGCATGAAACACAAAGTTTGGTTACACACTCTCAAAATAACTCAATGTGGGTGAGAAAGTGTCCAAGCCGCCTCTTGGGTCAATTTGAACCAACTTTCTGGGTTGTTTGGTACATTCGTTTTAAATGTTGTAAGTTTGAAGTGTAGGTAGGCAGGTAGATAGGTGTCGATACTCACATCATCGAAGACAATGATATTGTCATGAAAGGATAGCTTGTTGTCATGCTGCGAGACTGTATACGTCCTGGATTTCTGTCAAACAGTGAGACATTCAAACACACAAATACAAAATGAGAACTCTTGTAGGAGCTGCTGTAGGCCACGACTCACGCCAAGATGCTCACACGGAGCCAAATGGCCATTTGTAACTGTAGCACTCACTAGGCCACACCCCTTAAAGTTAAAAAGCCAATTTATTTCTTGACATTCTCTTTTTTTGTGTCTTTTGTTACGTTTTTGTACAATTTTTCTCAAGAACACAAACCATTTCATTTCCCCTTCCAATAGGATTTGAAACAATGACTAAGCAGTGAGGTTCGACACACATACATACCGGCCCCGGTCTCGTCTTGGTAAAGCGTTCAAAGTCAAAAGCTTGCGGCAACTGCGCGGGAATCTGAGTCAGCATCCTCCCGGTGCTTGTGGACAACTCCCGATTCCTCCCCTCGCTGGGCGCAGCATTTGGATGAGGAAACTGAGGAGAGTACGGGCCACAGCATTAGGTACACCTGAACCCTCACTAAAAAGTTGGGGGGGAAAACTCAAACGTGATGTCACATTTTGGCATATGGTAAAATAATGAATTGCAAAAAAAAAAAAAACAAACAAAAAAACCAACACACAAACTGTGAAGTATATAATTGACAGTGAGATATGAATCATAGTACATCGATCAGTGATTTTCTGTTGGTCATCCAACACCTCTGAATAAAATGCATTCCTTTAAAAACACACTTTTGTGTCCAACTGGATTATCCAGGGAAGGGTCAAAAATCAAAGTTGTCTTACCCAATTGCCATCGTTGCTCATTGGCGAATAACGCTTGCCACCTTTTACCATGCTGACAGTTTGACAGAGTAGTTTCAACTGCAAAACAGCACACACACACACGCACACCATCCAACCCAAGAGCTCGTGAAAACACTGGTGACTATGGAAACTGTGCATTCAACAACCAACGTGATATGTGCTCTCAGTTGACCATCGAGATGAGGAACTGGAATGCATAAGGGGGGTGGGGCAAATGAAGACGGCAATCACTACTTTCAACTAAAGAAATAAAGTGAATAGATGAATTACAATGCACTGAGATTTGACATCAGAAAGACACTATACTTAATAGAATAATGCTAATTTAGAAAATCGGTGAACTTTATTTCCATATTTCTCAGGACAGTTAGCTTATTTTATCTTACACAAACATTGAGCAATTTATTACCAAACACACCTTTTTTTTTAATTAAACATGTTTAATGGCTAATTTTCTTTACAGACATATTTCAAGCAAGGGATTAAAAATGCTAAAGGTTATTTTGTCCTTCTCTTTCAGCAAGTTATAAGTTGACAACTCACATGATGGAAATGAGACAAGCCTGTTGTAGATAAATGACAAATTGCATCACCTGGAAAACGCTAGTTTGTTTAAAAGTAACACTGAGAAGACCCTTGCAAAAATAATATGACTGAGGACATACATCCTGTGACATCAATTGTGTAATAAGGTGACACAAAGTCCTTTGATGAGGTGCGACTTCTTATTACATCATCATTGTGATCAAAATCAAAGACTGCAATACCTGTTAGAAATTATTAATCTGACTTGGACTACTTGCTAAACCTTAATCAGTTGATAACAGTCTTTTGACAAACGCCACACAGGAAGGCTCGAGCCAAGATTCAAACTCGGGACTTCTCTGTTGTGAGGCAGACATGCGAACCACTAACATGCTGCTGTCATCCATTACGAGGAAGCAACATTGATTTGAGCGTCACTTTTAAGAGTTGCTTGCGATGGGCTCACTGGCTTCCTTCTTGTTCTTGTACAGGTGCCTCTTCAAGTGCCTGGCCACACGCTGCCACCTGCAGAAAATCGCCTGATGAGTCTGGGAAATCATCTGATGTACGTCTTTGCGCGTACCTCTCCTGTGCGTCGTTGTACTTATTCAGCCGATCCGCCTCTTGTTTCTTCTCCTCCATCCACCGCCGCAGGAGATCTTCCTTCTCGCGCCAAGCCTGCGACAGCGCCTCCTTCAGGCCGCTCTGCTCCACGTGCAGGGTGGCCAGTTCTTTAGTCTGTTGCTCGATGGTGTACTCATGTTGATAAAGGGTCGCCTTCAGGGCGTTGCTTGCCTTAGCCAGAGTGATAGCCTCTTGGCGGTGGTGGGACACGCTGAATTGGAAGTGTCAAGAATTATTGATTAAGCCTACATTTGACATAAACAAAGGAAGAACTATCATAAAATTAAATGTGGAGGACTGCTGTTGAAACGTTACGAGCGCACAGGAAGTTGCACATGATCAAACTTGACAAACGGTTAGAAGCATCCAAAAACTATATGGGGGTACCGCAAGGATCTTTCCTGGGGCCACAACAATTTCGTTCTGATTTTATGAAACCATGAAATGGTTAACAACTACTACCATTTTGAAATATCCCAATCAGGACAGGGGAGGTTGCATACTATCAAAATAAACAAACACAACTTTACATGTGTGGTACCACAGGGATCTGTTCTGGGACCACAACTAATGAGTTAGTCCAAGGAATGTATGTGTTTTGGAATCCTACATTCCAGGAAGTAAGTTGAAATATTCCGACCAATACACATAAAGTTGCACCCCATCAAACCCACCGGCTGGAGGTCATTCTTACCGTGACTGCCAGTGTTGCAACTCAGCATCTTTCAGGTACAGGACGGTGGTCAAGTCCGAGACGGTCTGCGACAGCTAAAGAGACACAAAACAAGAAAATACCATGAAGGTGCTCCAGAAAATCAAAGTTCAATCTCTATTCTTACCTTTTCAGCAAGATGCTCACTTTCTCTGAGGCCAAGTTGAAGTAGTCTGACATTCTCCCCAACTTTTATTCCATCTTCTGAGCTGTACTAAGTCGATGTTGACATTTTATTTGTCAAGTGTCAACAAGTTGGGTAAATTACTACGACAAAATAAAAGTTGACATTTCTAACCTTGCTGACTGGAGATCTTTTAAAAACTGCCGGCGAATTTCAAAGCGTTCTTCCAATTGAGACACTAAAACATGAGTCAAGTCAAGCGTAGTAGATGCATAGAATGTATCAAATACATAAAATTGGGAATCTTACAGCTTGTATACACGCCCTCGTATGGAAGTTTCTCGGTTTGGTCTCTGAGTTGCAGTTGAGCACGCGCATGACTCTTCCAGCTGGCCATGTTACTTCACACATACATATCGTAAGTTTCCTCTTCTGACTCACCAAATTGAGTTTTTCTGAATCTTCCACGCCCGATTCTGTGGTAGCAGGACACAAAAGCTGATTGTTAAAACGCTGCCGTCAGCTGATGAATGCCCCGCCCACAGTTGGCACCGTGATCTCCACCTTCACACAATCAGCATCTGACTGAAATCATCGTTTTATAATTATGTAAATAATAGAAAGTAGTTGTAGAAGATAACACGATAGCCTGTTTGTTTTATTTTATGTTTTTTTTTGCGCGTATTTTTATTATTCTGTACTTCCGTTGAAAATACGGCTAAACCAAAATTGTTATTCATGTGTATTTTTTTCATTTGATTATTATTATTTTGTTTATTATTGTTTTTTTCTGTATTGTCTTAGTGTATAATATAATGACGTGCACAGTTTACCTTGGTTTTTTAAAAATATATGTAATAATTTAAAAAAAAAATCAGAAAATGTTTAAGGCAAACCAGCATAATTTAATATGATACAAAATGAGACATTGCATATTTTTAAAACGATAAACTAAAAATATATTACATAAACTGACCAATTTCCTACCAGTTCTTTCCAGAGGGAAGAAGAATATTCTCAACTCTTCTAGAACCAGGGCCTAACAAGTGCTTCCGGGTTCACGTTCTCCCGTATAACAATTTTATCTGGATTTAAATTAACATAGAATAAAAATTCCTTCTGTGTTATTGTATTTTTCGTAATTTTCAATGCTTGTATTTCATTTCATACGAATATTTTGGTAAACGAAATCATTTTTGGAAAAAGCGGAAGTTGCGTATCGTCATGAGACGCGACGCCAACTGGTCGCTTAGGGGGAGGAGGAGAAGCTCATTAGTTCATAATGTGGCGACTGCACTTTTCTAAGTTTGACAGCATGAAACGAAATAGTTTCCTTCAGCATTAACCCGAATCCCGTGGTCTTGTCCCCCGCATCCCTAACGTGTCCGATCTCCAGTGGCTGTGTAAGAGATTGTAGCATGCTAAGCTAGGAGACGTCAACTTTAGCTCCATTGATGATTGAAGTGTGTTGCCAGCTCCATGGAAAAGCTCGTCTAGTTTTTGTGGCTGTCCAGTATGAGCTCGTCAGATGGGTACACAGAGCCTGGGGATCATGCCCAGGAAGAAAACATCATCTCCACAGGAGACAACAACAAGCACATAAAATTGGGAATCTTACAGGTTGTATACACGCCCTCGTATGGAAGTTTCTCGGTTTGGTCTCTGAGTTGCAGTTGAGCACGCGCATGACTCTTCCAGCTGGCCATGTTACTTCACACATACATATCGTAAGTTTCCTCTTCTGACTCACCAAATTGAGTTTTTCTGAATCTTCCACGCCCGATTCTGTGGTAGCAGGACACAAAAGCTGATTGTTAAAACGCTGCCGTCAGCTGATGAATGCCCCGCCCACAGTTGGCACCGTGATCTCCACCTTCACACAATCAGCATCTGACTGAAATCATCGTTTTATAATTATGTAAATAATAGAAAGTAGTTGTAGAAGATAACACGATAGCCTGTTTGTTTTATTTTTGATCTCCACTTTCACACAATCAGCATCTGACTGAAATCATCGTTTTATAATTATGTAAATAATAGAAAGTAGTTGTAGAAGATAACACGATAGCCTGTTTGTTTTATTTTATGTTTTTTTTTGCGCGTATTTTTATTATTCTGTACTTCCGTTGAAAATACGGCTAAACCAAAATTGTTATTCATGTGTATTTTTTTCATTTGATTATTATTATTTTGTTTATTATTGTTTTTTTTGTATTGTCTTAGTGTATAATATAATGACGTGCACAGTTTACCTTGATTTTTTAAAAATATATGTAATAATTTAAAAAAAAAATCAGAAAATGTTTAAGGCAAACCAGCATAATTTAATATGATACAAAATGAGACATTGCATATTTTTAAAACGATAAACTAAAAATATATTACATAAACTGACCAATTTCCTACCAGTTCTTTCCAGAGGGAAGAAGAATATTCTCAACTCTTCTAGAACCAGGGCCTAACAAGTGCTTCCGGGTTCACGTTCTCCCGTATAACAATTTTATCTGGATTTAAATTAACATAGAATAAAAATTCCTTCTGTGTTATTGTATTTTTCGTAATTTTCAATGCTTGTATTTCATTTCATACGAATATTTTGGTAAACGAAATCATTTTTGGAAAAAGCGGAAGTTGCGCATCGTCATGAGACGCGACGCCAACTGGTCGCTTAGGGGGAGGAGGAGAAGCTCATTAGTTCATAATGTGGCGACTGCACTTTTCTAAGTTTGACAGCATGAAACGAAATAGTTTCCTTCAGCATTAACCCGAATCCCGTGGTCTTGTCCCCCGCATCCCTAACGTGTCCGATCTCCAGTGGCTGTGTAAGAGATTGTAGCATGCTAAGCTAGGAGACGTCAACTTTAGCTCCATTGATGATTGAAGTGTGTTGCCAGCTCCATGGAAAAGCTCGTCTAGTTTTTGTGGCTGTCCAGTATGAGCTCGTCAGATGGGTACACAGAGCCTGGGGATCATGCCCAGGAAGAAAACATCATCTCCACAGGAGACAACAACAAGCATGTAAGTAGAAAGATTTGCTGTATATACTGTGCTGGAAATCATTCCCTCACTGTAGTATATGTATAGCGTTATCATGGGATCACTCAAAATTCAAATAAAAACTAGTTTTCGAGCAATACTTGGGTCCGTCGTTTATTACATGTTTGCTGTCTCGTTATTACAGGATTAACGTCAGATTTGGACATTCGGTAATAAATATTGTACAAAGACCGTAAATACATTGTAGTATCATATTGTTTTTGAGATGGTTGCTTTTTCTAAAACTAATACAAGCAAAGCACTCTCTGTCCATATGTTTTGTGATCTGATGTGTATCTTATGAACGGTAGCAGACAGTTCGGTCCAAGACACAGAGGAGGGGGCACTGCACTAATTTGCACAATCCTTTTATTGCTCTTCTTGTAACTATCGGTCGTTCAATACGTTTCAAGATACACTGTGACCGTCTGTTGTTGCATTGTGGGATACATTGAGGTCCCAACATCATGTGTGTTTGATTTTGCTTCGGTTTAACACGCACTTGCTTTGTTGCTTGTGAAGGACTCGGCGATATGCTCAGAAAGTAGCAGCAGTAAAATCAAGAGCTGTGCTGTGGTCAAGTACTGCGCCGCCCCACCTGCCAGCACGTATGCCCTGTTGCAGGAGAAGACCGACCTCAAGCTGCCCCCTGCCAACTGGCTGAGAGAGAACGCCCAGCTAGGCACCGCTGGCACCACCGTGTTGGGCTCCAGCAGCAAGGGCAAGCCGTTTTCAAGGTGGCTGATGTCATTCTGTGGTGGGATAGAGAAACTTGAACCAGTCAAAATATACCTCCTGTATAATTATTTACGTACTACAATTTTATGTTCAATGACCGATGGTGGCAATGTTTAGTGACAGGCAGAACTGTTAAAAGCCTTTTCCACTAGATGGCAGTAAGTGCATAATGTGCCCACTTCTTGTGACACTTTAGTTCAGGGGGTGTGCTGTGAGATTTGATGCCTCAAATACTTTTTTTGGGACAGTTTTGGAATGGCGTATGACTTTATCGACTGCATCGGGGATGACGTCGACGTCGTGTCAGATTCAGAGGTCCGTGGGACAGGCCGCACCTTGACTTAAGCGTCTCTGCAAACACGCCGTTAATGCCAAGCGTCCTCCCCGACAGAACATCAAGAAGCTGTTGAAAATCCCCTACAGTAAATCGCACGTCAGCATGGCCGTCCACCGCGTGGGTCGCACCCTCCTCTTGGATGAGCTGGACATCCAAGAGCTCTTCATGAGATCCTCGCAGGTCCTGCCGTTTACCGTCCAATCCCATCTGCCACCTGTGGAATGGCATGAAAGAAAAGAGCCTGGAAAAAAAAATGTTGGTCTGCGTTGTAGACGGGCGATTGGACGTGGTTGAAGGACTTTTACCAGCGGTTGATGGATCAGAAGTGGCAGAGAAAAAAGAAGAGCAAAGAGCATTGGTATCAGAAAGCCATCCTGTCCAAGTTCCTCTACTACAGGCAAGTGTGTCAAATGACTCCAAACAATCAGGAGGAGCTTTCATGTCATTGAGCAGTTCGTCTTAATCGTCAAAACGTCTGCGTTTCTTGCAGTATTAACGGCGACTGCGCCGCCGAGCCGGTCGCGGAGAACCTGAACGACGACGAGGAGTGCGGCGGGCGGGACTTCGGCTCGTCGTGGCCGACCGCTTTCACCAGCTCCGACGCGGAAGAGTCGGCTGCTTGTAAACAGGTCCATTGATAATTTGACATAGCTCCATCACATTGCGGCAGGCGGGCGATGGAGACATTGCAAGGGGGGAAAATCCACGAGGAACGGATGCCTCAGGATGGGGGTAGAGCACCACATGAAGCTTTTCACCTCAATGTAGTTCCTTTGCTTGAGGATGCCACAAGAGGGCAGCAAAGCAATACTTTTAAGTTAGACATGGTGAAATTATTATTTTTTTTGCTGATGTACGCCATTTTTTAAGACAGTTTTTTTTTTAAAGACATTAACACATTACAAAATAAGATAAAAACTTGTGCCCCCCTCACCCCCCCCAAAAAAAAGAGCAAAAAAAAAAGATTTTTGTAGATCTATTGCTTATTATATATTTTCTATCTGATTAATTGTTCATCAGAATTTTGCTCTGCGAGATATTGGAATTGGCATCGGCCTAAAAAAAAATTTAAAAATTCCGTATCAGTTGGGCCTTGTTTTATTGTATTTTTTCATACGGTCTCTTGGATTGTCAGCTATGGAGGGTGGGTCTGGAAAGTATCCATCACCGTATTCCAAAATGAATTTGTGACTTCTCAAATGTTTTAGGAACGCGTCCCCATGGACAGCAAATTTGCTTTAGGCCAGGTGACGTCGGCGCCCCAAGAGCAAAACCTGCCAGCGCTCTTTAATGAAGGCGAAAACAGTCAGGTCAGTTCTTTTGGTCCGAGCGGACGTGATTGAACTTCACGGTTGAACGCCTTTTTTTTTTTTTGTACTCGACAGGGTTTAAGGAATGACTTTGTGCGAAATATCATGTGGACCTTTGAGGACATTCATATGTTGGTTGGCTCCAACATGCCGATTTTCGGAGGCGGGCGCTACCCGGCTGTCAGCCTCAAACTCAGGTTGGAATTTGGGATGGAATTGTTGGTTAAAAAGCAGCACGTGTTAAGACCCCCCCCCCCCTCCCAGGGACAACAACAAACCCATCAATATCCTGACCGGTATCGACTACTGGCTGGACAATCTGATGTGTAACGTCCCCGAGCTGGTCATGTGCTTTCACGTCAACGGTATCGTTCAAGTAAGCATCTGAATTTGGGTCCCTTTTGTCAGCCGGCCGTTGTTCCATTTCAATCTGCGTTTCGCAGAAATACGAGATGATAAAAACAGAGGACATCCCCCATCTGGAGAACTCCACTTTTTCCACCAGGGTCGTGAAAGACATCGCTCAGAATATTCTTTCTTTCCTCAAGTCCAACTGCACCAAAGAGGGTCATACCTACTGGCTTTTCAAAGGTAGCGGAGGAGGGAATTAAACATTTGAAATGCGCGGACATGTTTCTAAACAATCGCCTGTCCCGTATCGTTAGCGAGTGGGAGCGACATCGTCAAGCTTTACGATCTGACGACACTGTGCGAGGAGGCCGAAGAGGAGAAGAGCCACAATCCCTTCACGCTTCCCGTGGCTGTGTTGCTTTACAAGTAGGAAAATGTCTTTATTTGGTACAAAAAAAGCAGGGGGTGAGAAAAAAACTGCCCTGACTGGTTTGCTTTGCGCTTCAGGGTGGCATGCAACCTGATGCTCAAGGCCCGAGAAAACAGAAAGCACTACGGCACAATCCGAACTTTGCTTTTAAACTGCGTCAAACTTCTGGACCAGGACAGGCATCCCCAGGTGAGCTTCCTTTGCGTCACTCCGCAGTGGTACTTTTCTTTCAACTTCAGATAGGCAGACATTTGAGTGAAGTGGGACGGGGACAGGGGGGTGCAATTAAGGTACGTCGATGCCCTCTTATTTGGGCAAGGAGAGCCATGGTTGCCATAATGAGAACACTTGCAAGGAGCTGCCGTAGAGCAAAACTCAAGCATGGATGCTCACACTGAAATTGCCGGTGAAAAACAACTCCAGCTCTTGACGTGACTCACTCATGCCCTTTAAAGTCACACAAATACTACAGTAAGTACAATAAATACACTTTGTAGAACCAGCCTTTTTTTTGTAACTTCTATGATGGGTTTTTTTTCGTATTTTTTTTTTACACTTGTTTTTTTTTTGTTTATTAAAACACATTACCCAAAAAAAAACCCCCAGATATTTTTTTCCTGCCTCCTCTCCCCCAAAAACAAAAAATGTTATGTTTTTTTTACGTAAGTAGCATTCATTCTTAATACTGCCCTTTATAAAACAAAAAAATGGCAATATTAAATTTGAGATAAAGTTTTTGCCACATTTTTTGTTTGACTTCAGCAGACGTTGCACCGCTCCTTTTTGACCATGTTCATCTTGGCCACTTGGGGGCAGTATAATGCTGACTTTAAGACAGTCAGCTGCACTCATTGTAGTCATTTCTTACAAATGTTTAGATTTTTTTTGGGGGGGGGTTTGTCCATCTATGGCGTTGAGCATTATTTGCTAGCATTAAGCTAAACAGAATTAATTTAAGATAAAAGCTATGTGGTTGTGTTAAACACTCAATGTGTACTTCTCTTTGTTTTATGTTTGGTTTGACAACGATTACTGTACTATCAAACTAAACATAAAACAAAGAGAACAACTCCACAAATCCGTCCCAATCTCACCCTCCCCCCCCACCCACACAGATCATCGCCTCGGCCCACTACATGCTGTCCGAGCTTTTCCAACTCGATGAACCTCAGGAGGAGGACGACGACGGAGGCGAGTCTTTCCGGGCCTGCGGCTCAGAGGACAGCTATAGTAACGATGACCGCGAAGAGGAAGACGACGACGACGACCTGGAGGACGAGAGCGACGACAGTAGCTCGGAGAATCACGGCCGCATGCAGGACGCCAGTAAAGCCGTGGCGGTCATCCGCTCTGTCGGAGAACTGTCGGTCCCGGAGAAATACAAATCCACTCAGCTGATTCGAGTCAGTTTATTTATTTATTTTTTTCCATTTTGCTTTTTCATCACCTGTACGTTAAATATTTTACGTTTTTTTTTTTGTCTGTCTCTGCAGCCGGGTTGCGCTTTCCCCATCTCACAAGACAAAGAGGAGCGATGCAGACATGTCCTCAACTATGTGCTGAAGGCAAGTCTGCGGGATATTGAACGTTTTTAAGAAGGCAGGGTGCCTAAAAGAAATTCGACACAGTGCCGATGCAGTTAAAGCGCAGTCCGTTCATTTTCACCAACAAATTAACAGTTGATTTTTGTTCTGTTTCTAAATAGGATTTTTTTTCCCGTCCATTGTTGCAAATAAGAGTTCCTGTGGATTTTGAAAAAGTTTTTTAAAAAGGCGTTGAATACTCGAATCTAAAAAAATAAGGGATTAAATGTCATTAAAAAATGTGAAATCAGAAAAGTGTTAAAATTTAATTTTATTTTATTTGAATTTGTTTTTGTATCAAAAAGAAGATAAAAATCAAACGTTTAGTGCACAGTCAATTTGGAAGAGGATGTTTAACCCTAAAAAAAAAAATGGCCACAGTCTAAATAGAGTAAAATTTTACACTGAAAAAAATTTGAGGCAATATGTACTGGAAAAATCCTTGTAAGGTTGTTTTTTTCCCCCACTAAAAAAAATCTCAATAAATTTAACAAGGAGAGGTTTTTTTTTTGGTAAACGTGACTTGCATTGTATTTGTTTATTAAAAAAAAACAAAAACAAAACCTCCAAACCCCCAAAAGCACACCAAAGTATTTGGTGTGTTTACCCTGGGACCAAATCCCGTCTTTTTAGCGTAAAATATACTCGAGCAAAATGTTCTGCGTACACCGCCGTTGAGTCAATAAATGCCTCGGGCAGTATTTAAGGAAAAGTGCTATTTTGGTATGACGGTTTGATTGGAGTGGCCGCATAACACCGCACAGGGTCTGAAGGCCGTTGATGGCAGCATCAAGAAGGAGAGCGAGCTCCCGGCCGTGGACCCCAACACGCCCATCCCTCTCAAGTACGAAGACGGAAGCGCCGTGGAAAAAGGCGTCTCTCCTTTCCTCGAAAGAGGTCACCATCTGATCGCGCATGATGCTAGCAAGACAATCGAAACTTTTGGGTTCTTACCCCTCACGTGGTCTGTTGTCTCAGTGGGGCATTCGCAGGCGGACCAAAAGCATCCGACGCGCTCGGGCATGATTCCCGGCACCTGGCAGCACCAGATGAAACTGCAGCTCTTCCTCAAGGCCTCCAAGGCGTACTACGTGCTGTCCGACGCCGCCACCAACCTGCTGAAATACGGCCGAGCCTTGCGCTACATCAAGCTGTCCCTGCAAAGCTACGGTAAGCTCGCTGAAAGCAAAGTCCAGAAAAGGACTGCTCATCACGTCGCCATCCTCGCCGTGTCCCCCCTCGCAGATGCCTACTGCGCTATCGGAGGCACGCTCCACCCGCAGGCGCTCCTTTTCCACAGCCACTGCCTCTCGCTGTGTGGCGACATCCAGCTGATGTTGGCCCAGAATTCCAACAACAGAGCCGCGTACCAGGAGGAGTACAGCTACCAGACCAAAGAGGACCAGGAGATCTTACACAGCCTACATCGGGAGAGCAGCTGCCAGGGTCAGCGACGCCGGCACAATCCAACGTGTTCCCAGACCAGGACAATAAAGTCTCAGTTGGTGACTGAAGGCCCCGCAAAATGTTTAGAATTGCCGGTATTAATCGTTTAAACTAGGCATGGGCGAGCATCTTGATACCAGGTGTCGGTATCGTGCCGATACTGGCCTTATTTTCAGGTATCGGTCTTCGTTAAGGATGCCGATACAAGCCGTGTGACACATTGGTGACATATTAGTTCACCATTATGTCTCCATTCTTTAATTGAAATTATATGTATCAAAAGTATCAACGGTATCGGTACTTGGTGAGTACTCAAGAGTGAATACTCCAACTGCTATAGGTCTGACAAAAAGTGTTCTTGAACAAGTTTAAATTATAAATATACACCGAACACATTTCCACTTTATGATAAATGGCCAACTGTTTTTCATTTTTAGGTCAGCAACATTTCATACTTAAATTTAAACTGCGCATAGCAGCGGTTAGCTTGACTTCTTCTTCCCAACAGTGTAAATAAGCAGGTACTTGGGAGGAAAAAAAAAAATCCCGCAAGCATTTTTTTGAACTGAGGTGCTCAAATTACTCGAGGACCCATTTTCAGCCCAAATTAGATGTAAGCATGTGCCTTTAAGAGGCGGGGCTTGCGGGTGTGACTAATTTGTGAATCTTAAACCGCGACTAGTCGGTCCTCAGTACTCACACTTCCAATTTGAACACTCAGCGTTCAACATGGCGACCGACCTGGCCACCGACCTCGAGTACCAGCTGTTTGTGAGCAGCAAGTGCTACGAGGCCGCCTACGAGCTGCTTGTCTCGCACGCCTTGAAGGAGGAGGCGTCGGATCAGCTGGCTCAGGTGCTGAAGCGGCTGGGGAACATCCGCAATGAGATGGGCGTCTACTATATGAACCAGGCGGCGGCCATGCAGACGGAGCAGGGTGAGACCCTTCAAACCAAAAACCGACGACGTCGGGTGTTTCTCGCCAGCAATCCACCCTGACTTTTTTGGGGTGGGGGGGGCAGTCAAGACCTCGGTGTCCGCCGCCGAGCAGGAGATGTGGAAAAAGAGCTTCGCCTTTTTCGAGAAGGGCATGAAGGACTTTGAGGCCATCGGGGACAGCACCAACAAAGCGCTGCTGCTGTGCAACACGGGCAAGCTGATGAGGATCTGCGCCCAGGCCCACTCGGCCGTCTCCGTGGACGACAGCAGAGGGGAGTTCTCCCCGGAGGAGGCGCTCTACTACCACAAGGTCACGCTCAAGTCCCGCATCTCCCCTCGCTCCACGGTCAACAATTGCAAAAGTCCGACACAGCCGTACTGATATTTGGCACTTTCCTGTCTTTTGGCAAAATAACCAGGCCATCGACTACTACTTGCGTGCCATGAGGTCATTGTCATGCCGAGAGAACCACCAGCCAATTTGGGACAGCGTGAACTGGGAGCTGTCCACGACGTATTTCACACTGGCCACACTTCTGCAGGACTACGCGCCTCTCTCAAGGAAGGCTCCGGAACAGGTTATCACCTCACTAGGTCACTTCGGATTCAAAACCACCAACTGATATCAATCACGTCTTAAAAAAAATTTTTTTTTTTTAGATTGAGCGAGAGGTGACGGAGGCCATGATGAAATCGCTCAAATACTGCGACCTGCACACCGAGTCCGCCCGCCAGCTGCTGTACCAGTACAGAGCGGCCACCATCCACCACCGCCTGGCCTCCATGTACCACAGCTGCTTCCGGAATCAGGTGGGCTAACACCAGCGATGGCTTCCCTCGACCAAATCTCGGCGTTACCGACAAAAATTGCGTTGAACCAATCATGTCCAGCCAGCCATTTTTCTATCGTACTTGTCGTCATTCGGGTTGCGGCCGAGCTTGAGCCGATCCCAGCTGACTTCGGGCAAGAGACGGATGCACACCATCACTTTTTTTTGCCATCATTGACCCCCTGTCGCTTTGAAATTACAAAAATTCAAAGCGATTTTTTTTTTCTCTCTAACTGCTCCCAAGTTACACTTCGGGTTGCAAAAGTGTGTAAAACGCTTCAAAAAATTAATTTTTTCCCTGTTTACTCACTACTTGTTTATTTAGTATTGTTTTGTGATTAAAAAAAAAAAAAAAAGCAATATCACCTGAGCAGGATTGATGCACCTACTTTTTTGGAAACCCATATTATTTAATCGCGCCATTTCCCCCCCCCCCCCTCCACTTCACTCGAGCGGACGTCCAGGTTTAACATGTGCAAACGTCCATCTAGGTGGGCGACGAGCGCTTGAGGAAGCACCACCGCAGCCTGGCCGAGCTCCACTACAGCAAGGCCGTGTATTTGTTCCTCAGCCTCAAAGATGCGCCGTGCGAGCTGCTCCGCGCCTTACTGGAGAGGGTGGCCTTCGCCGAATTCACCATGGCGGGTGCGTTCCCCGGCAATCTACGAGTCTTGCTACTTGGATTGTGGCGCTTTAAATTCAATGCCTCCGCTCTGCGTTTTTGTGTCTCGCCCCGTAGCTCAGAACAGCAGCACGGCCAAGCAGAAGAGCCTGACTGCCGCTTTGGAGATCATGGCGGAGACTCGCTGCGCCTTCCAGATGATTCACAAAGAACTGCTTGAAGAGCAGACCGAGGTTGTGTAGCAAGACCCACCGGGTTGCCGTCTAATGGCAAATTCTACAAAAAAGATTCAACACGGCCTACGGCATAACTAACTCTTTGATGTCATCAGCAGGAATCATAACAAGGATTTTATGTCTCTTTTTTTTTTGTAATACATTAATTCTATTTACCAAAAATATTAAAATAACCCCCACTCCCAAATTGGGTTGTTTTGGGGGGTGGCGGAACGGATTAATTCAATTTCAATTTATTTAAATGGATAATTCGGTTTTCTTATTCAAGTAACTTGACATGGGCACAGAACCGCAGTATTTGTCATCAGCCCATTTTGCATAATATGTCCACCAGGTGGTGCTGCGGCACTCACCTCTCTTTTGTCTCTTCCGTGATGCGCAGGGAAGCCACGCAGCTCTTCCGGGATCTTCGGGTTGCCCTGCGCCAGGACTGAACCTCCAGGAAGTGACCAAGCTGACCGCTCTGTTTGAGTCGCGCTTCTCCGATCTGCTCCTGCAGCTCATCAAACTCATGACTAAAACCAAACGCAAACCCAGGTGAGGACCCCCCACCCCCTGAAAAAACAAAACTAGTTTTGCATCCTCCGATTGACACGCCGAGAGCCTCACAATTTTTTTGACGTGCAGCAAAAAGGACGAAGAGCTGCTGCAGAGTTACAAGAACGTTTACTCCAAGCTGCTGCGCTGCGACAAGAACATGCCTCTGCTCGCCCGCGTCGGCCTGTACGCCGAACTACTGCACCAGCTTACGCCCAACGCCGACAGCTACGACGCTAACGTGCCATCGTGACGACGCCTTCATTAGATATTACGGACTGAAAAACTACTTGCACATTTTTGAAGACGCTAGATTTGTGTTTCAAGTTGTACGGTTTATCCGATACTCGCACATTTTTAGGCATATTCAGCTTTCGGGTGAAATTTCAAATTTGCAGCAGGGATTTATAACAACACACCAAAGCTTCTCTGACCTCATCAGTACAGCACTAACATGAGTCATTCTACGCAGAGGATAAAGACTATAGCGAGTACTGTGATACTGTCTGCATACTTGTTGAACCGTTTCTGTTCGATCTGTTGCTGAAGGTGTGAAAGCAGCGCAACATCGATGCGAGTGAGCATTAGCATGAAGCTAGTGGTGCCTTTCTTTAGGCAGCTTTTTGGCCATTTTTAAATACACCAGAGCGTTATTCCCTTTGTGTTAAGTTTGACGATAAATTTCCACTGAGCGTGGCACGAAATTGCTTGAGGCCTCCTTTTTTGATGAATTGTTCACTATTTGTCAAACCGCTGCTTGTTTTGAAGCGCGTCGAGTTGAATTCACCGAGTCACTCGTCTCTCAAGGCACCACTGCACAGAAACGACATGACAAAGAGTGGCACATACCATCCAAGCGACTTTCGGTGATGCAAGCCATAAGGAGAGCCTTTGCCTTTCATACGAGAGAGACCCAGTGAGGGTGTGATTTTTGCGGGCATCCCGCTCTCAGATCATTACGTGCATGATGTCAGCGTGACAATTTTCGGGAAAGGACTGTCGACGCGGCAGTGCTGTCTGTGCTCAATCAAGAATGATTTTTATTATTTTTGATAACCAGAGCTTCCGTTGGTGCTGGGTGATTTTTTTTTTTTTTCATGTTGCTTTCTCAAAACCAAAACAGTGCAATTATGTAAAAATGTGTCAATATTGGGGCATGTTTGCTGTGATATGGAAATAAACTTTTTGGAATGTGATTATTGTGATTATTTCCCCTCCTTTTTTTGAATTTTTGGAGACCGTATATATTTTTTTGTGTGTAGATTTAACGATGTACTTGTTTGCATGTTTAAAACAAAGCAATAGAAATGGCATTCGGTGTCATGTCATCCCCTGTAATTGCTCACGAGGCGTTAAATTAAAAAAAGCAATGGGTATTTTTTTAACGTCAATGTTTGGTGATTTTGATTTGGTCCAATATGAGGCCTGGTCAAAACTCTTGTGTGGGATGAGATTTGTAATCACTCGCCTTTTGCAGAAGGTGGCAGTGTGGTACCGAATGCTCATGTTCCTGGGACGGGGGAGGGGCGGGGGTATATAGAGAGAGAGAGAGACTCCAAAATGGCAAAAACAGAAGCCATACACATATGCAGTGGCCCTTGAATGGCTTTTGTAGCCTTTATGTAAATAAAACACACACTTGGGATGTAGAAATGGCTAAAATTTGAACCAGAATTGCGCGCCGTATGTTTTCCTACTCGCACGCAACACTGTACACGATTGGAAAAAGTCAAATTGAGGTCGAGGAGGAAACACAACCAAAAATCCAAAACGCGATGCTGTGGTGAGAAAAATTTTGCCGGACACGCGTATGGAGAAAAATAAATACATTAAAAATGCGGATCACATGATCACCCCGCTCGGCTGTAAATTAGAAAGTCATTGTCAATATGTATCCGTTTACTTCAACGGCATCACGCGTGGAGTAAAATTTCAAATGTCTTCATTCTGCATCCAATTAGTTCCTTTTTGGCTGAATTTACACACACTTGATTTTGCACATTGAAGGAGGACAAAGTGACCTTGGGTCCCTTTTGTCCTTGCATCGACAGTTATAAAACACACACATTTTGCTTTCTAAATGTATAAAACGCCTCCTACATAAGCGTCCAATCTTCCTAGCGCGGAAGAGTGCGACAAATAAAATAAATAGTCCATTGGTACCTGAGCGAGGACAAGATAGAGCACCTTTAAGTGGGAGAGCACCACCGACCACGTGATGTCAGCGTCTTAGTTTTTTTTTTTGCTTCCAAATGTCCCAAAAAGTGTCTCTCACACACACACACACACACACACACACACACACACACACACACACACACACACACACACACACACACACAAAACTATTCCGCCGCTCTTTTTACACAGGGCGTCCATTGTAGGCGCAGCGACCAGTCCAGCTGAGCCTCCGTGATGAATTAGTGCAAATAAAAGAAAGAGAGAGACTCGCTCCACCTGGGAGATGCTCAGCAGTTTTTGGGGCTCTTTGGTGGTCTGTAGGGCAACACTGGTGCGGGTCTGAAAGCAAAAAACAAAAAAAAACCAAAACGCATTTTTAATGTTAGACATGATGACGGGACTTGAATAGGCGAGTTAAAGAAGCAGTGAAATGATAAATCCACATGAACTCGACATTGAATGATGACGTTCGGACCGACCTGCTGGGGAAGGGGATTGCGGGTGGCGGTTTGGGCACAGTGGGGATGGGGACGGGCAGCGGTCCTCTCCCGGGGACGTGCAGGCCCAACGCGGAGGCGCCGTGACCCAGGCGAGCGCTTCGGCCCAGCGGGTCGGCGGGAAGCGGCTTCTGCGGAGGACTGGGCTTGTCTGAGTCCTGCGGTTGAACAAGCAGTTCAGAGTTTTGTTTGATGCAGAGTCAGAAAAATGCAGTTTCCACACTCAGTTGTGAAACTCTTCTTGGGGTGTGTTGCGATGACTGGATTATACTGCCTCCAGGTGGCCAAGGCGGGAACAGCAACCACATCAATTGAATTGAAGCAATAAATGCGGCAACCGCCACACCACCACCCCAAAAAATCAAACCAAAAAAAAAACCATGTTGAATTCTTTACATTCTATGTCATTATTCTTCTTATTTTTTTTATTTTTTTTAAATATAATATCACTGGGGGGGCACGCTGGGTGAGTGGTTAGCATAAGGGTGTCGAACTCATTTTTGTCACGGGCCAGATTTTAGTGCCAGTTTCACTTGGAGGGCCGTTATGACTGTACCCCAAAAATGCAGTTTCCACACTCAGTTGTGAAACTCTTCTTGGGGTGTGTTGCGATGACTGGATTATACTGCCTCCAGGTGGCCAAGGAAGGAACAGCAACCACATCAATTGAATTGAAGCAAAAAATGCGGCAACCCCCACACCACCACCCCAAAAAAATCAAACCAAAAAAAAAAAAAAAACAGCTGGGATAGGCTCTAGCAGAGCTCAAATCAGCGATTTGAGCTCTCCGGATCTAAAGTCCAGAAATAAATGTGTGAGGATAAAGCGGATCAGAAAATGGATGGATGGATGGATAATATTAATGAGTGACTTTTTGTATTAAAAACCAAAATGTGTTTTTTTTTTTTGGTTTCTAGGAGGCTGAAACAGGCTAAATGGCAATTGTTTCATCTCAATGGGGATCGGCGATTTGAGCTCTCCGGATCTAAAGTCCAGAAATAAATGTGTTTTTTTTTTTTTCTCTCTCTCTCCGTTTCAGTGTTGACACAATACGTTGCTGCAACACTGACATAACGCGCTGGAAAGGCAACGAATGTTCTGCACGGACGTGATTGGCCTTCAAAGAAGCCTTTCCCAATCACGAATATCAGCAGTGACAGAGGCTGCGTCACGTCTCACGGTAAGCGGCTAAACACATTTTCCTTCGAGGGTTGCCGCTCGGCTCGCACCCGCTGCCCTTTTGATTGAATCTCTTATCCGCTGTGTGACACGGCGTCTCTCCGCTTGATTAGAACCTGACCACTCTGCTACCGGCGCCTTGTTTTGCAAAACAGGGCGTCCTTTTTAGGAGGCAGACAGCCTTTCAGCTGGCTTAAATGACCATTTAGGACACAAGTCTCGACGCATTGCATCTTGGGAACTCATCGTCAGCCATCCGAGAGCGTACGTTTCACACCATCTCTGTGCTCACATGTTGTAGACATACCTGGCCCAGTTGGTAGGATGCGGGCTGGCGGGGCAGACTGAGGAAAGGCGGCACGGCGGGCGGCGACAGAGCACTGGCGGCGCGTTCGGCCGGGGGCAGCCTGTGTCGGGTCGGCAGAGGAGGCAGCGTGGGCTGGCCCACGCTGAGTGACACGGGCATGGGCTGGCTGATGTGGAGCGGCTGGTAGAGCGGCAGGCGGCGCAGGCTGTGCGAGTGGAACTTGTGCGGCGGGAGCAGAGGCTCAGCACTCAGCAGGGACGGCTAGGTGGAAAAAAAACACTCCGTTTTGTGATTGATACGTCATATTTTCATCGTAGAAATACTTATTTTTTGTGTTTGGGGTGGAAATGGGTGTAAATCGAAAGTACAGATGATATACTGGTGATGAGATCAGATTGCAGCAGGCAGCGAAAGTCTTTCACATCCAACAACTCCCCACTCACTACAGGTTATTCTCCAGGGCTCCGTCCTGGGGACCCTGGTCTTCACTGGCAACGCCCCCAAACTCTGGGTTTCATTTTCCATAAAATCAAAAATCACTTAATTCCTTTGCGGATGACACCAAGCTCTACTAACCCTACAAACCACACAACTCATTTCCACACTCACATTTGACGACATGTTTCAGTTTTGTGTTTGACACGCCACCTTTTAAAACTATGGATCCTGATTCTTCTGCACTTTGGGATCGAAATCGCTGTCGATCCAAAGCAAGAATGAATAATTGTTTTCTTCAAGCAGATGCAGAGACCAGACTGCAGGCAGCTGATGTCCCTCACAAGTGACAGCTCTCAATTCACCACAGGTATTCCTCAGAGCTCTCTCCTGGGGTCCTTGCTCTTTGTTATCAATGTCCCCACACCCTCTGCCATTTCGCCTAAATTCAGTTTTCATTTTAATTGCTTCGCAGATGACATCAAGCCTTCCCTAGCCTCCAAACCAAACATCTCATTTCCACCTTCCTCCCTCATCTCATGCTTGTCTTCACAAATCATATGATCTACGATGACATCACGAAGCGGAGAACATACAAATCCACTTGTGTGAATGAGTGCATGTCATCAAAGTTTACAACATTAGAGTTGACGTTCAGAAAAAGTTGCTAACATATGTACGGTCTGTAATAAATTCTGCGTGTCATGATCAAAACGTGTTTTCATTGTCTGCTGCCAACATTCATCACCTCTGCCGACTTGCTATGAAGAACGCTTTTCGAAGCTCATCTCAACGGAATGCGTCTCTGTCAACTTCATTCATATTTCCTTTTTAGGGGAGGCTGAATTGATGACAGGAAGCGCACATTCCCAAATGGATCCGCCAAAAATAAATCAATAAAAAGACTCACCTTGTAGATGCTGGCTCCCAGTCCGCAGGGTTTGGGGGGAGGTTTGCGCTGTGGTAATGGTCTGCACGTGAACTGTGTCCTGGCTGGGCTGGTGGGCCTCTTGGCCTCGATGGATCTGCAAAAGGTCATGAAAAGGTCACCAAAATACTTTATAAGATGTCAATGTAGCTCTATTATGGGAAATGCAACTTTTTTTTTTGAAGCAACAGTAGGTAATAAAGGTGAGCTGTTTTTAATATTTATTTATTTATTGCTTAATGGCTGCTTTACAAACAATATTCTTAAAATAAATAAATAAATAAAGGAAATTTGCTTCAACTATGTTGCACTGCTAGGACTGACATGCGCAGCACCAAAGCGAAGGCTGCGGAGTCCAGTACCATGATCGGAAAACTGTCTCGCGTGTGATTTTTGTGGGCTGACCTGAGCTTTTCCAAAGTGCTCTTCCTGTGGGTGAAGAGCAGTCGCAGCAGCGTCTTCCTCTTGAGGAGAACGAGGCCGCTGGCCAGCAGCAGGCCGCTGGCGGCCACCAGGACGGCCACGGTGACCAACGCGCTGTCGGCTGGCACCACATACAAGACGCGCATTAATGCACACACATCTACGGCCACACGACGACCAGAGGACATGCGCAGAGAGCGTAAAGGGCGAGTCATCATTTCAAAATGAGTCACTTTTTTTTTTAGGACAACGGCGCGGTGTAATTTACCGCCGAGGCCAATGGGAGTTGTGTTATTCCAAGAAATTCAGAGCGCAACAGCCAAGGAAAGAGTTGTGACACATAACAGCTGTGGTTCAGCAGTGAAATCATTGCGAGAGGCTACCTGCCAATCTCGTCGGCCCGCTGTCGATGCTTCCGCCGAAGCCGGCCCCCTCGCAGAACGGGGGCGCCCAGTGCGCTTCGCAGTGGCAGTTCTTCTTGTTGTTGCACACCTGCAACGGTGGATGATAATGTCATGTTATACAGTGAAGTAATATTCTGAATTAGCCACGTTGAATTAGCACCATTTTGTTTGTTAGTTAAGTTTATCACTTCCGTTTGACTTTTAATTGATTATGCGTTCCCAAAATTAAAACATCCAATCGATAACATTTAGAAATATAGTAACAGTAAGTTATGAACAACTCATGCTACCAAAGTAGCAGCTATGGCTAACACCAGCTCATGCTAGCTTAGTCTTGCTAGCGCTGCTATTTTGTTGAAGCCGCAAGCACTTTGGCTGGCAATTTTTCACAGCTACGGCCTTTCATACAACGGTGTTGACAACCTGCCAACATCAGGGTGCCATGGCAGACCACTTTGTGTCGTTCACAACAATGTAAGATTAAAATAAATAAGCTCTGAGTGAACACGTGGCTGTGAGAGAGGGGGGGCTTCCCAAAGATTCCCAAGTGAACTGTCATTGTGACGTTGGGAGGAGGAGCAGGGAGGTGACTGAGGGGGAGTCGCACAGCTGCACACCGGATGGTCGCTGGATGTTAGCGAGGCTAAGAGGCGCAACGAGGGAGGTTTGATGAGGGGGCAGCTTGATATCTTCATGATGGTGGGGAATGTTCCCTCCGGAGCCAAACGAAACACGCCTCCTCCCACAGCTGATGTCAAGCGAACGCTAACAAGACTTGGTATATATTGTATGTTTGGATTTTTTTTTTTTTTTGGTAATATTTTATTTTTTATGAATAATAAGTCTACAAAACTCTATTCTTAATGCCGTTTTTTTTTTCTTTAGCTCGAAAATATTAGCCACCAAGCTAGTATGGAAGAAGGCGGCATCGTTATATCGACTGATGGCTGCCGGTACTCCATAAACATAATTTTTTTTTTTTAAAAAGTGGAACTATGTTTAACGATATTTTTGATACTTAACAGAAGATTATCATTGATGTTGATCAACAGCATGTTCAAGTAAAGGGAAATGTAGGAATAATTCTACAGGTGTTTCTACGATAATGAAATAATATCGTTGCCGCCCCTAAAAATCATGACGATAAACTTCGGGGACAAGCTAAAGGAGGCTCTTTAGTGACTAAAATATGACGAGACGTTTTCATTGACGAGACAAAAACGTTAGCTGGTGGTCTGTCAGAAGTCCGAAATGCATGCTGACCAAAGTCCTCTTACTACACAACTTACGGCTTTTGATAAACTTTGTCTTGATCTGATTCTGAGAACCCATTCAAACAAGCAAAAGACCAAAAAAGAAGCGTATGAAGTTGGAATGTCAAGTCAACATGCTTTTAATTAGCCAAGTAGCTGCGGTGATTAAACGGATAACTTGCTCAAGAGTCAATTAGAGTGTAAGACAGGCTGCGGCGCCATTAAATATTGAGTCGGCCGCTACTTTGTACTCACCCCACGTCCGTTGCACTTTCCCGAGCACTTGTGCACGCCGAAGACGCTGATGTTCTGACACTGGCGATTCAAACACACCTGCCAACAGGGGGAACGCAGAGTGAAGCACCATGGTGAGCTTCACTAACTCGAGTGAACCCCCTGCTACGTGCACATTTAGCATTCACACAATGAATGCGCTTGGAGCCCATGTGTTGCTGTTCCATGTGTGTGCAAGCAGCGGCTGTGGCCGCCGTGGCCAGTTGGGGGCAGTGTAAGACAGACAGATGAATACACTATTTAGTGAGACGTCTCAACTCATCAGTACGGCATTAACACGTTGATCTATAGCGAGGATGAAGGCTGTATGACTGCGCTGCACGTTTGTGTTCAATCTGTTTCTTAAAGTCGTTACAGCACTGCGACGCACATGCTATTTAGCGTTAGCATTAAGATAGCAGACTAAAAGGCCGAACTACGTGATTTTTTTAATCATACATGGTGGAATTGTCTTCATCTGGGTGTGGCATTAAATTAATATATTTTTTTTGCATTTTGCGATAACTCACCCTCCCGTCTCCGCACTTGGTGCCAGCCAGAACTAGACCCGGATCGGGCATGTCGTCCCCAAGGTAAACGTGCGTCCCTCGACACAGGATGCGGCCGCCCTCTTGAAGCGGGATGTTGGTTTCGATGGAAACGGCGTTGGTGCCAATCACTGGCCGGTTGGCGCCGCCCTGGCACTGGATTTTACCACACTTTGCATCCCTGGATAGGACAACAAAAGCACAGGAAACATAAGAAAAATCAGACAACATTGACGCAGTGAAGCACATAGAGGGCCTGTCAGCCACAGAATAATGAAAGACTGCTTGGCTGTAGTGTGGTGGTGGTGGTTGTTGTTGTTTTTTAAAGAGTTTAAATATACCTGTCCACATGAAGAACAAAAGAAAACATTTTTTTACTCGAGGCTATTTTAGCCAATCAGAGGCCTCAAGAAAGTCATTATCAGAAAAGCCACGGTTGAGAAAAAAGGATTCATACCTGTGAACTTATTAAATGTTCGATTAAATAAAATAAAATAAAAAAAAGCATGATAAAAAATATTTTCTAATGTTTGATACAATTACTATTATGTATATATTTTATATTTCATCATTTTTATCTGATATATTATTTAATCATATTTTTTATAATGCTGGAAAATGACATTGAGCGCCTAAAATAAAATTAATCATGACGACGAATATTTACATCAAAATGCTAAAGACTTTGGGACACAATCTTTTTTTTTTGTCTTCCCCTTAAAAATATAATTTGGACTCTCATTAAGGCTATTAGCGAATCCAACCAAGAATAAAAGCATGAAACGATGCATGAATACTCAATTAGCTGTCTGAATCATTGATGGTTTTGCTGGCCTATTGCCTCCATAATGACGATTGCTAATGACACCGATTAAGCTCATCGTTACATTTTCCTTGAAAACAGCATTTAAATGAACAGCAACAATACGGGGCAGAGAAGGTCCCCTATTAAGCTCCAGGAAGAGTCGTTCTTCCCACAGATCAGAGAGAACCCATGCTTGGGAGGATTGCCGTATTTTCTGCTTGTATGTATTGCTGCTCCACGGGCGTTAAAGTAGCAGTTGTTTGAAAGTCCCTTTTAATTTTAGAATCACTAATTTTCCATATTCACAATCACAAAGCATTATTATTCTTCAAATGAATTTCCTCGATGAATAACTTGAGGATCGCCCAGCCCTGCTCGAACCCTTGCCGTGCAGCTGCAGAGCCCCACCTCGCATCGCATTTGGCAAAAGAGCCTTTGGAATCCTTCCCGCAGTTCCCGTAAGGGTCCCCCGCCGAGTTGACTCGCTCAAAGCAGATCCCCGGCGCTGGCTTGGCTCCTGCGCACAGGGCGGCACGGGTTCAAACATAAACGACACAAAGAGGGCCGTTCAGTGGCTAACGTAGAAGAAGAAAAAGAAGAGAAAAAAAACGAGAAGAGACCTGGACCCCACAGGGTGATGCACTGCTGCTCGTGGGTCTGGCAGATGCCGTTGTAGCAGTATCCCTCCACGGCGTGGCAGGCGTGGCCGTCGTGGAGGTAAACGTTGGCCGGGCAATGGGGGTCGGCGCCCGTGCAGAATTCGGGCAGGTCACAAGAGTTGCCGGACTCACGACACATGGTGCCCGCCGGTTTGAGCTGGAAAAATCAATCAAAACATCACAGCTTTGGATGTGAGACTTGAGACGGCTTTGGGATTTCATCGTCATTAATTTTCATTCCGTTATAACTTCTTGTGTGAAGAGCTAGTTTAACTAAAAATGGTTAGTTTTGGTGTTAGTTTTAGTTTTTTTGTTTTTCTTTTTTTTAATATCTGGAGTAGTTGTTGAGTGCAAGTTCAGAGAAAAAGTATCGTGTAATCAAGTAACGTAAACTACAATCCTCAGACCACTGTATTTGACCTTCCTTCCTTCTTTATGGACACACAGCAATACTGAAATGAAGACATTTAAAATGAACACCGAAAGCTCATGTATATTAATTGACAAAGGCGAAAATGAAGAAAATCCTCGCTATAATTATTAGTTGTAGTTATATGAACATAAGTTGTAGTTTCAGTGAGTTTTTTTTCAAGCATTTTCATTTTATTTCATTCATGATTTATTATTTTTTTTATTTTAGTTTTTTGGGGGGGTTTACTTTGCATTAACTTGAATGACTTTGGTGCTTGGCAAATTAGACTCGTACTTCTTTCGTGACGTTATAAAAAAATATGATCTAAAATTGCCTACATATGCCACAAGATGGCAGCAAAGCAATACTTTTGAATCAATGAATCTCAACTCACTCCGACATGTAGTTCCTTGACACCCAAGATGTCACAAGATGGCGGTAACACATTGCTTTTGTCCATATGAATCTCCTCAACTCACTTTTACATAGTTCCTTGGCACTAAGACGCCACGAGATGGTGACAAAGCAACATTTTTACGACTTTTGCATGAGCACAAAAACAGCAGATGGGGGAGGAAAAAAAACAAAAACAAAAAAACAACAGTGAATTATATATTTGAACATTTTGTGTTGGCATTTCCATTCTGGCCCCAAAGCCTCAAATGATAAAAAATTGGTATGTGTGCACTCGGCTTTCGACGGCAGCATTTGTCAATGTCGTGAGCGGAATCGTCACCTGGCAATCGTCGCAACATTGTCCGTGGGCGCACACGGCGTCTCCTTTCAGCGTACACGTGGTGGCGTTGCAGCATGGATTCAAACATTCCTTTGGAGAGGAAGCGGAGAGACAACCAGTTGAAAGAAACCGCATCAAAGAGACAATATCAGCAGTCCGACTCCCACAAGATGGCGGTAACGCATTGCTTTTGTCCTTATGAATCTCCTCAACTCACGTTTACATAGTTCCTTGGCACTAAGACGCCACGAGATGGTGACAAAGCAACATTTTTACGGCTTTGGCATGAGCACAAAAACAGCAAATGGGGAAGGAAAAAAAACAAAACAACAACAGCGAATTATTTATTTGAACGTGTTGTGTTGGCATTTCCATTCTGGCCCCAAAGCCTCAAATGATAAAAATTGGTATGTGTGCACTCGGCTTTCGACAGCAGCATTTGTCAATGTCAAGCTCGTGAGCAGAAGCATCACCTGGCAGTCGTCGCAACATTGTCCGTGGGCGCACACGGCGTCTCCTTTCAGCGTACACGTGGTGGCGTTGCAGCATGGATTCAAACATTCCTTTGGAGAGGAAGCGGAGAGACAACCAGTTGAAAGAAACCGCATCAAAGAGACAATATCAGCAGTCCGACTCCAAATATGAATTCATGGCTGATTTGCCGCAGGTGGTTCGCAATGCCACAATTGCCCGTGGAAGTTTCAGATGTTCTAGTAGGCTTTTCCTGACGCTGTTCCGTCGAAATATTAATCTAGGTGAAACAGGTCCATACGTAAAAAAAGGTTGTGACCGCTGTGTTCAGAAGGATGTGGACCCGATCTCCGTTCTGGAGGACTGAGAGAAAAGCTGGCATTGCCGATCAGAGTCTCTTGGGACTCGCGGAGCACTCGTCAGCTTTGAAGAAGACCTAAATTGGGAGCGCAGACCTCCCTCTGGAGATCTTCAAAGCGTGATGTGACATAAACTGACTTGGCCCATGGTGGACAAGACTTTTTTGAGGCAGAGAAAGAATCTCCACGGTGACAAGACCACTCCCCCCCCCACAAGGAGAACCCGAGGGGGGGAGTAAAAAAACCCCGAGGCGATTTTTATCTTTTATTAGATGCCAAAACACATCAGCTTTATTTCCTCGAGTAAGTCACGCATTGCACCATCACGCAAAAGAATTTAACTCGCTTTAGTGGTCTCGGCGCGGTTGTTTGGTGGGTCTCGGAGGTAACGGAGAGAAGCGCTGCACGTCTGACAGCTGAGCGGAGATGGACTGTTTATCTCCCGGCCCCGACAGAAGCTTTTTTGTTTACAGAGGACACAAAAGTCGGCTTTCATCTCCTCGTATGAGTGCGCCTGCACATCAAACAAGCAGCGACATTATGCACAAATGACACCGCAACCTGAAGGTCGACAATTTTTCACAAAGGAAATACAGCGGGACTTTGACTTGACGTTTACTTAAAACAAACCACTTCCATATGCTGCGTCTCAGTTGTGTAGCACCTCAAAAATAACTAAAAAACATAACTCTCCAAGTACCACCATAATGATCAAATACAGTCACAACAACAAAAAAAAAGGGGACGGTTTTATTCCTAATAAGTACATTTAATATTATTCCACATCACTCTTACATTATGCACAGTTTGAACATAAACACCGCACTTACATATGGAGGAAAAAAATATTTAATGATTCAATGAAAATAAAAGCTGAATAAAAACTCAACCGAAATTAATCTTTCTAAACAAAATGTTTAAATGAATTGTATTGTTCTGAAAAGTTAAACGCAACTGAACTGTACGTGACAAAAGTATGGCAAAACAGTTAAGCCACTGTAATACTCTGCAGAGACGGAAGTTGGAAGGATTTAATTAAGTGATTGTTTTGCGTACCACTAGAGGGAGCCTGCGTACCACTAATGATGCCACACAGAGAATCGCAGCTGTTTGTCAAAAAATGCGAAGAAGTCAAACATATTTAAAAAAGAAAAAAAAAAACGGAATAAAACTCAGCTATGCATTATTGGTATCAAGGCAAAATTTTTCTTTTTTTTTTCAATTAAAAAATATGTCTGATTGCTGTGATACCTTGTAAAATTCAAATATTAAATTAAAATAAAGCATCACATTTTCACAACAATTTTTTTACATTAAAAAAAAGTCTGACATTATTATTCTATATTTGGACAAACCAATTAGAGCAAAACTTCTGCCTATAAGAAGATTTTATAATCATCATATGCTAATCTTTGAATGCCTTAATTCCTGTGAACAGCACTGAATGCCATTTGGAGGTGTTTCTAATATTCGGCCTCTTACGCCAGCAAAGGAAGAATCCCAAGGGCATTTCTGGACACCCGTTTCTTGACTGAATAATGCATGAATGCTAATGACCAGCGGCCGTGTGTCTTTGGAGGTACGGATCGAAATTAGAATTGTTCAGCCTTGAGGGAGGCCCGCGCTCTACATTTGAGAAGAAAAAAAAAAAGGCAGCGATGATCAATCATCGACTGAAGCCTTTGTTATGCAACATGTGACTGAGTCGCCTTCCTGAGAGACGAGCGGCTGCAGTCATGCGTCGACAAGGTGCCCCGCAGTGTGTTTAAGTCCGTGTGACTGTGTGTGTATGAGATGGATTCACTCATCAGCTCAAGCTCGTGTGGTGGCGACAAAGGCAGAGGAAAGTTTATTTCAGCCTGGACCCGATCAAACTTTCTCTTTTTGTCACACCGCCGGAGAGCAACTTGATGAATGGGCCTGTGACTGGGAAATGACAGCAGTGTGATAGCCTGTCACACCAGTGACTGAGCACCAGGCGGCGGGGCTCGCATAGGGTGCCGTGGAAGGAAAATACTTGGAAACGACAGCTTGCATGGATAGCTCTGTTTTTAGATGTTTGTTAAAAAAAAAAAAACATTTACCTCGAGTCACAATAAAAGTGTGAAGGTGAGGGGAAATGGCAAAATTGACATGACGCATTCAAAGTCTGAGATGATGTAAGACATGCTAACTTCTGTTAGCTGATTTATGGCATCTGTCATTAGATGATAGCAAGAAGCTAATGGACTTAATGGACGTTAGACCAAATTATATGGCTTGTGTTCATACTTCTATACGGTTATCCAAAGTTTTATTATAATATGTATAAAATATTTGAACCTCTCTTTTACTTGTGTGAAAGTTTGTGTGTGTGTGTAACTATCATCTACGTTCATTTCCTTTAGCCTATCAAAGACAATTCACATGTTGTGTTAGCATTAAGCTAGCAGACTTTTATTAAATAGCTTTTTAGCAGTTTGGTGTTAAAGCATACAATGTGTGTGTGTGTGTGTGTGTGTGTGTGTGTGTGTGTGTGTGTGTGTGTGTGTGTGTGTGTAACTGTATCATTTCTGTTCATTTCCATTAGCCGATCAAAGACGATTGACATTTTGTGTTAGCGTTAAGCTAGCAGACTTTTATTAAATAGCTTGGTTCGCCAGTTTGGGGTTAAAGCATACAATGTTTGACTCTCTTTTGCTTTACTTGTCAATTTTGCCATCCACGTGAACTATGAGTGACAAAAAGTAAAATGTCTCTGATTCCTTCAGGACATGACATGGTCACCGACAATCATGTTCGTAGATGGACGCCCCTTGTCCTTACCTCGGGCTCCCCGCAGTCACACTCCTCCCCTTCCTCCACGTAGCCGTTGCCGCACTTCTGGCCCCCGTAGAGCACCTTGACCTCGGGCATGTTGTCCAGACACATGCCCACGCCTTTCTCCAGACTGGCTGCAAGGTCCTTCTTGCTGCACGTGCTGAACACCGTGGGGAAGGGATACCTAGCGGGAGCAGAGGTGGCAACAAAGTTGATGACAGTCAAGGAGTCAAAAAAAAAAAAAAAAAGATGTGCGTGGAAAGGTAAATATTTTTTATCTCTTCAAAATTCTGATTATTATTAAATCTTTTATTAATATCATATTTCCACGTTCACGATTAGCCATTGCTAATTGTGGAAGGGTAGATATTTTTGGCCTTCAATAAATCAGAGAACTCTCTGATTTGATACTGAATTGGCAAAGGGAACATTGTGATGCATCGATTAACCGGTATTTTTGCTCAGGACATGTCATGTCTAATATAAAATATTTCCCTTGTGTCATTGCATGGAATTTTTGTACCAAACAACCATGCTGAACTGAATTTTGTCAGGCCCGATGTAACATTTGGTGGTGTGAGCCGAACAAAGACTTCTAAGTTTCCACGAACATTTGTTTATTTGAGCACACCCGACCGAGTCCATGCCCCCCCCCCCAAAAAAAAGTTAGACATAGCCTTATCTAATAGAAAAAAAGTGCTTCACTCCCACTTTGTGACATCTCGAGGCAATTACAAAACAACTAACACATACACTATAATGTGCGGTATTTTCTGTTTTTTTTTTTTTTTTTTTGTGTGTTCAGATATGTTTACGGTGTTTGTTTTTCTTTTTTAAAGTACAGCACTGGTCAACCAACCGTTGTTGAAGAAGTACACCCTTCCTAAAAATGCATCCTAAGATGTGCTCCGTTTGGAGTGGCTCCAGATCGAACGTGTTTGTTTTGACAGCTGAGGCCACCGGCTAGAGAAAACGAGCCAAGCAGAAAGTGTCGACTTCCTTGAATAATATTGGCTCGAAGCCCCGCAGCGTCTCCAGGTGTATCGTTTGCCCGAGCGGAACTAATTTGGCTGAGCACAACAATTAGTCGCCGTTTAATTAACCAGCCCCCTTTTTCAGTCGCAGAGAGAATAAAACACGGATGAAGATATGATCTCACACCTTAGGAAGGGTTGGCGGGCGAAGGTTCCGTTGCACCATCCGGCTTTCGTTCTGCTTTATTGATCCAGATGCGAGGATTGCTTTGAAATGCTCATCAAGCGAGAAGAAAAATGCTAATCGACGGCCGCTTTGGGATTTTTCAGTGAGTGGCTTTTTTATTTATTTATTTAAATATCGCAGTTTGACTAGATGGATTCAGTCTATGAAACATTATCGAACCAAATCATTAAAATTCTGCTTTCACTGCAACGAATGGTGTTCCGACGATTAAGTCATTACTTTAAAAGCCAATAATCTAGGCCAACGTGCTAATTCAACAGATCGTAACTGTATACTGAAAAAAAAAATCGCATTTGGAATCGCAATTGAAATGTTGAGGGTGAAAAAAAAAAAAAAAAAAATCGAACTCTCTTTCAGTTGTGGTGGCGCTATTGAAGACACCGACCATGAAGCCCTTCCTCGAGTTTCACCTCCTCAAGTTCAGCCTCCGAGAAGCCGAGTTTCTTCCTTTCCCTCATCACTATAATTCACCCTTCACGTAGCATTGATCAGCGTGGCTCATTTGTATTCCTGTTTGGCTTCACATTGACCGAATATTGTTGCCGTGGAGAGGGCGGGATTTGAGAATGAGCCACAGCACACTTTTACAAGTGGACTGTGACTTATCAAGGTAAGATTTCCTGCCGTTGGCGGTTTAATATAGGTCTGATTAAATGTGTACCAAAACCTTCAACTAAAGTGCAAGTGGCACCTGTACGCATTGGTTGTTTTGTATGCATCCCTCGATGCCCAAAATATTATTCTAAAACCTATACACCGCACACCCGCCGAATGTTCTGTATAGTTCTACATCTCGCCGATAAATGCACAAAACAGACGAGGGTGTGAGGTAAACGTTTGAAGAGAGGCAAAATAAAAGGGTCCTGTCACTTGATTGACGGCTTCAGGCTTGAGACGGATGAGAGTGAAAGTGGTTTCTCCCGGTGACTGTGCTGCGGAGTGACAAATATTTAGTCCCGGCTAACAAGATGAGACATGTCTGACCTTTAAGCAAATGTTAGGCTATGACACCATCGGGAGGTGTTGGTGATTAAAAGAAAGGACACGTTGTGCAAACACCGGGTTGTCTTCGGGGAATTATATCCATCATTTTGCTTAATCTCACTGTGACACAATTTGACAGCTTTTTGCACGGCTCGGCATAAGTAACGCACACCCTTTAAGTCGAGTAAATGTCTGCTCCTGTCATTATGTCTACGAATTCCTTCATCAAGGCCTGTCATGACGGTACACTCATTTCTTTCCTTTCTTTCTACTTCACGCAAATTCTAATGTCTTAATCACAATGTGAAATGAATTTTAAGTATGGGAGACACCACATATTACAGGGGGAAAACAAAAAAATCTGAAAGTGTGCTCTTACTGCAATTACAGTGTATCACTTAGTATCCGTTGAAGTACCGAGACTGACCTGTGAGGGGCAGCATGTACAAAGTGGGGGGGGATACAGACTGCCGGAAAACACAGGTTAGTTGTAGAAGAAGAAATAGAAGACGCTAGGTTAACTGTTAGCGCATATGGTAATTCCTTGTGGTCTTATTGTCATGTTTTTTTAGTGGATGACTGTTCCGAATGAGGATTTGCGATCAGAAATATGGAACATGTTGAACATTTAATTGTCATCTGTGACTGATTTCTGAGCTGATCAATAAGGAGGGAATGAACTACCCCAATTGGGCTTTATTTTAAATGTATTAATTTCAGTGTCACTTCCGGCCGTACGGAAGAAGGAAAACTCATTTGGGAATGGTTTACTTTATGACACTACTTAGTGAGTTTTTTTTTTTCCCAATCTTGCACAAAAATACTCCATTTCAAAACTAATATTAAAACTAACTAGCAAACCACATTTTTTAAAAATGACAAACTAATAAAAATGAACTGCCTCGGCTCAATTCGGTGTCGACCACACACATAGGGCTTTGCGATCGTAAATAGTGAACAGGTTTAACATCGACGATCGTCCACCCTTGTGTGTGTGTGTGTGTGTGTGTGTGGGGGGGGGGGGTCACTTTTAAGAAGTGTGACACCACAACCAAAGCGTCAAGAGAATATTGCAGGCATCCAACAATCACAGGAAAAAAAAAATTTCAAATTTGGTCCGATTATCACAGTGGGTGTACGCCGCTTAAGAGATAAATACAAGCCTAGCTTGCTCGCTAGACTCGTCGGCGCTGTGTGTCGAGGCCTAAAAGCGCCTTTCTGCGTGTCGCCGTTATCCTGATTTCAGCAGGCAGTGCCACCGATAATCACATCATTTGGATGCAAGACCGTCCTCTCCCCCGCGAGCAAGTTTTAAGTGTTTAAAAAAAAAGAAGAAACATCACCATGGTAAAAACAAAAAATGTGGGATGAGAACCAAACTTCAACATTTACTGTATGACCTCAGAGTCACAGATAAGCTCTTTAGAAAATAAAATTGAGCGAGCTCTGTTTTCTTTGAATAATTAATCAGCACAATGACTCACACTGCCGGGTTTAGATCATATCGTCATTCCCCCCCCCCGATTGCCCGCCACGACTGCACTTGTCCTGGTGATGAGGTAGACGTACATCAAACACGTCGCTACTACTTTATTGTCTGCCTGCTCAAAAGGTACTTTCAGTTCATCTGTGGCAATAATTGTTCGTCGTCGGGTAAATTATGTATTTTGCCGCATTTTTAAGTGATGTGGCCACAAGGCAAATGCTTCATCTCACGTTGTCTGTTGGCTGAAGTGCGTGAGTTGTGTTTGATGGCTTGGCTTGATTTTTCAGTAAACTCAAAGGATTAACTCACTTGTTTACACAGGAAATAATAATGGAAATAATCTGTTGCCATCATAATACTGCTGCAAAACACCTCCTTTGAATAGTTGTAGTTAAAAAACAAAAATTATCAGTGATCATCAGCATAAAATAAATAGAAATTACTAATGAAGTGGATAAATTAATCTTGAACATCACTTTTACCTTTACTGATGATTCTGGACTTTCTGTCATAGAGTTAAAAAAATGTAGTTCAAACAGCAATGCAAGCTTTCATTAAAAATTTAACGCTCCTGGTTTATAAATCCTACATCTGGTCAAAAGTAAGGCCTTCAAAATAAAAGCACTAGAGTAAAATATCACTTTCAAGACACTTTGGGCTCTATTGTGGCTAATATAGCAAATGCACTCACTTTTGTGAATCCAGGAAAGTATGGTGAAACGTTTTGTTATGCTCTATGCTTTTATTTTGAAGGTCTAACTTTTGAATCCACCTTGCTGTCTGTTATACATGTACACACACGTTTGTATGAACGCGCATCAATTTGGGCAAATGAACAGCCGATGAATGAAAACCAATACAGACGAAAAAAAATCCCGGCAAAAATCACGTGAAAACTAGGGCAGACCAAAAACGGAGGTTCCACTTTATTATAAAAGGTTGCTCCAATACAGTTCAAAGACCAACCGGAATTTTGCAGTCTGGCTCGTTTTGGCGGTGTAGCGGAATGCCGCCCGGGCAAAACTTCCAACAGGGGAGTTAAAAAAAAAAAATCAGTTTGCTGCCTCTGGACTACCTTATCAGCTTTGGTGTTTACTAACATGAGAGTCCATCGCTCTCGGCCACATTGTTATCTCAACAACCCAGGAGATGTGGGCGGAATACTGGTGCAGCTGCTTCACTCTCGGGCCACAGTGTGTGCGTGCGTGCGTGTGTGTGTGTGTGTGTGTGTGTGTGTGTGTGTGTGTGGCAGCCTTGCGATAAGCGCGATTACGCGATGTGAATCCGCAGCATCGATTACAAATGAAAATGAGCTAGTCTGACTCCATACATCTTGTTAAATGAGATAGATTAGGCATTTTTTCAAGAAATATAGCACAGATTATCAAGCAAGTCTTCTTGTCAAGCTATTTTCGGGGGTGATTGTATGCTACAAGGGATCCAGCCCTCATTCCACCTGATTTTCTTTTTTTGCTGAGCCAACGGCAAGTCTGGATTTTGTCACATGACAACCAATTACAGCGAGAAATTGTTTTGACGTCAGTTTCAGTGGACAGCAGGGGGCGGTGCTGGATCAAATGTGAGCCCCCTGAGATGGTTGTAAGCGAGTGGAATAATCTGCTTTATTCGTATGCCAAAATTTTACATTTTTGACTCGAGTTCGTTCCTCTTTCATACAGCACCTGTAGATTGTGTGTGTGTGTGTGTGTGGCGCTTGGCCACTATTCGCCCATCCCGCCCTCCCAAAAAAAAAAAGCCCCGTCCCACACGCTGCTTCCACAACTTCACTGAGTAACAACAGGATTCTTTGATGAAGAATGACATCTCTTTAAATAAATGCAAAATATTTTTTCAACTGCAGGGGCATCACAGTGGGGTTAGTGGTTAGCATGTATGCCTCGCAATTTTAGGGTTCTGGGTTTGAATCTTAGCTCTGGACTTTTTAGACTTTGCATGCTCTGCACATTCCCAAGGTGAGGTGAATTGGTTGTGGGGGAAAAAAGGATGACGTCTCACCCTGTGGAGGGCGTCATGATGCAACCGCCACGGTCCACCGTCATCCTGCAGCCGCAGCCGCGCTCGGGCGTGTCGTGATTCATGCCGAAATTGTGGCCCAGCTCGTGCGCCAACGTCACGGCCGCGCCCAGCGGGTTCTCGGAGTGATCCTATGAAAGGGATGCAAAAAAAAAGAATGAATACATTAAAAAATAACAAATAAAACAATCAAAAATGAAAATGTATGGCAAAAACAAAACAAAAGAATAACATACAATGTCCTATTAAGTTGAACTCTTCTCACAGTTCAATTGAAAAAGATGAGACGTGGTTACACAAAGTTCTGATGTTCTAGTAGGCTTTTCCTGACATTTTCCCCCCCTCATTTCATTTTCGAGGACTTCCAGTGAAACTTTCTCAGCACTCACATTCGAGCTGCCCGTTCCATTTGAGGTTCCATGCCAAACCCTCTTGAATATGAAAGTCTTACTTTGAGGCCACCCAGAAACCTTTTTAGGAGGTAGGGAAGGGGTCAATTTTTTTTTTTTTTTTTTTTACAGATTTACTTGCAAACACTGTACCTGATTTTGGTGGCTTTTTTTGTTGTTGAATCCCAATTGAAGGAAGTGTGATGTGGTTGCTTCCCAAAGGGCTAACAAAGGGACATGCAGGATAAGTACAATTTTGGTGGAGGCATTGTAGTTTGAAATAAACATTGAAAGTGTCAATGTTTTTTGGGGGGGGGTTCAAGAGTTGTTTTTCCTCTCTTGTGACTGGCCACTGATGACTTGGGTAGCCTTTTACTCTTCACGGCAGGCATCTGCCACAAGTAAAGTAACGGGGACAACAAACATCTGGAGAAGGCTCTGCCCGAAGAAGACACATCTATTAACGGGAGGGCAGGTCCATCTGGGCCGGTGGCTAATGGCATCGACCAGATAACCAATTTGCGATCTGGCACCACCGTCTCGCGGACGGACAGCCGGGACAACGCTGGCAGCTCATTTTTACCGGCTTGCGAAGAAAATACGTTGTGATTAGAATGAGGTCTGGCATTGGCTATTTATCATAAAAATGGAAATGTGTAGATGTTTTTTTTTTTTTTTTGGAGTGCGTAAAAAAACACAAACAAACACCTCAGCAAAAACCGAACGACCGAAAGACCGGCAAGGTCGTTATGCCGGCTGGCTGCAGGCCTTGTACGAAATAATATCATTTCATAAAGCGTGGTGTCAGGAATGTGCACGAATGCCCTCGTGGCAAAGAGTCAACACCTCTTTGGATGGATGCAACGCGACACGGAGGAAGAGAAGGCGGGAAGGCATCACGGCTCACCATGACGATGCCTCCAGACTGCTCTGCCGTGCACATGCTCATGATGGGCGCCATGCCGATGGTGGTGCCTTGGAAGTAGACCCCGCTGCCAAAGGATATAAGCGTTATGTCATCAGACATTTCAAAAGGGAGAGAATAGCTTGGCGGGGAGTCTTGAAATGTTGCATTCTGCAAAAAGCTTCTCTGTATGTGCGTAAATGTGAGCAAACATTTAGTGATTCATCCTGATCGGCATTACCCTCAAGGTGATCTTTCGGTGACTCAGAGAGCGCGAGAAAAGGCAAAAAGTCGTCAGGTTCTATTTGGTCTCTTTTACTCTGAGATGTCCTACCCACAGAAATGACAAGACCTAAATCTTATGGAATGTTTAAATCTCAATTTAAAACTTCATTTCTACACTCTTGTGTTGGTTAAACCACACCTGGCATGCACTCCATTGCATTTGTATTTTGGCCTGTTTTATTGCCGCTTCTCTTTCATTTTCGCTTGGCGGTGTGACGTGAATGTGGCTGGGAAAAAAATAGCTTAAAGGGTTATAGAACCACAACATAGTTGCTATTTAGCATTAGCATCAAGCTAGTGGACCGATGTGATTGTTTTGAATACACCAAGGATACACTTTGTTTTATCTGTAGTCTGTGTCCTCCCCACAGAAACTGGAACACCTAACTCTTGAGAAATGATTAAATCTCGATTTAAAAACTTCATTTCTACGCCCTTGTTTTGGTTAAACCTCACCTAGTATGAACCCCGTGACATTTGTATTTTGGCCTGTTTTGCTGCCGCTTCTCTTGCATTTTTATTGGGTGGTGTGTCTTGTATGTGGCTGGCAAAAGCTGGCTTAAAGGCTGATACCGCAACATAGTTAGCATTAAACATCATTTTAAATGTTCACTAATGCTGCTATTGGATTCCATCTTACTACACAGAGACCATTGTATACACTCATTCCATAAAGCACCATCTCCCGATTCCAATATCGAGTGTGCAAGTCAATCAATTGCCAAAACCGATCAAGCACCTTATGAGCTGAGCGTTGTCGTGAGGTTTCTGGGGCAGCAGCTTGACTTTGCGCCAGTCGAGGAACTCGTGAAGGGTGGCGAAGGGATCCTGCGTGACGGGACATTTGTCGTGGTCGCTCCACACCTCCAGACCCACCAAAGCCACGCGGATGTTCAGCGCTCGGTAAAACTGGACGGAAGAATGAGAAGAGGGCGGTGAGTAGCTTTTAATCTTTGAGGCGCTAACATAAAAGTAGCTATCTGTACGTAGTTAATGCGGCATTTGCTCGTATTTGTGTTGTGTCTATGCAATTTGTACCTTGTCCACATAATTGGCAATTTCCGCAAGTCTCTGTTTCACCTTCTCCACGTCACTACCCTGTTTTTGAAACTACACAAAGAGTGAGAATAAAAACAGACATTAGTGATAGGGAGACCTAAAATGTGTTGTTGATTTAAAAATATATAGATCATACAATACATTAAATCAGTGGGATGTGAGGACATCTATTAAATGAAGTAAATTAATGAAATACACGGAATCACATTTGCTGGAGAGGATCTGACAACGGAATAAAACACAATGCACGTCCCTCGCGTCCATTCTTGAGGGAAAACTTTGTCCAAGACATTGTGGTGAATGTGTGGGAATTGTTATCCATTCGTGCACCAGAGCATCTGTGAGGTCACATATTGTCAACTCTCTCTCCCGAGTTGCTCCCCGTTGTTGATGGGCTTGAGTCCTTTGGACTCGCTGACATTGGAAGAAGCGGGAGGAAACTCAGCGTAGATCTTGTTCCTGTTTGCTCGCTCACTCCGCTGGGGAGTCATTTCCTGTCAAGCCGCTGGCACCAAAGCACACAGCTTGTTGCACACTGACCTATATGTGCGGCTCCACTCTTAATGGATCCCCCCCCCCCCCCCCCCAATCCCACAACCCGTTTCCTGCTCTCGTCATTGTGGAGAAGATGAACGGAAGCGAGGCGGGTGGCTTTACCTCTCGGTTGTCCGCGACGATGATCAGCTCCACGTATTTGGTGGTCTTCTGCGCGTCCCTTTTGTGCTGAGGGTTTAAAAAAAAAAAAAAAAAATGATGTGGATTAGTTACCGTTACAGTTCTGAATATTAAAAAAAAATGTTTTTTTTCCCCCCAAACATGGTTCAATTCTGAAAATGTATCATCATCATCATCATCATCATCATTATTATCATTATTATTATTATTATTATTATTATTATTATTATTGTTGTTATCTTTGTAGCAGTAGTCGTACAAAGAGAAATGTTGAAATACCGCAATATTAATATAGGAAATAAAGCTGGTATTTTTTAATTGTTTATTTGAGGTTGCTTTTCAAAGTGGATGATTATTGAAGGCACGGATTCTATTTGACAAAACGGTCTTTCTTACTACATTTGAAGCCATTATACTTGCAACATACATAAGTGCATGTTACCTTGCGCTGCCTGTTTGTAAATATTTGCTCTCACATGGACATATGGCCGCGAGCGCCTGTTTTGGCCAAAACTCTCTGGAGGGAGCCCTCAATTTTTGGACTTGGATGACAAAGCCCCAGGGAACAACACTTCCTGGGAACGTCTCCAAAAGGCAGTTTGTACAAAACGTTTGCATCAACAAGGTGAGTACACAATTTGTCATCTCACCCTCGTGTGGAAGGCCCGGAAAGGGCTTTTAAGGTCGTTGTCCGGAGCCACGGAGGACATGTTGAAACCGTGACCGCAGTCGCCCGGGGTCAGACGCAGTTCCTCTGCTCGGTAGATGAAGTGGACGTCCGGGTCTTTGCCGGGCGCCGGTTCGATGACCAATGACTTATTTTCAAGCGCGATGAAGCCTCTGTAAAGAGCAGCGGGAACAAAAATATGAGGCAGCACAGAATTGCCCTGCTGCTACCACCATTTTTTTTAATGGATGCTTCCTCGGGTGCCCCAATTAAGTTTCATAGAAACTTCAGTCCGGGGTGCCCGATTATTCACGTCCGCATGATGGCTGTGAAAAAGCTCATTAAGAGCAACAAAACAAAAGACTTTCCCAAGGTTGGCAATTGCCTTCCCTTTCACCAAGCGTAAAAGCAAAATTCTTCTTGCAAGTGACATCCCATCTCGGCACAGAATAGTAACGCCTTTAACGATCTTACCGCCATCACGCCAAAGTGTGTTTAATTAAGCGGGACGGTGCAGAATTATTATTATTATTTTTTTTTTTTGCAGATGCCACAAATCGTAATATTTTAACTGCGGTTCCTCATTAGTGACATGAAGATGCCAATTAAGGCATAATTGAGGACAAACGATGAGCTGCGACATTCTCTTCTTCCAACAGCGGCGTAAAGTTCAAAGTGACATAAGGAAAAATGTTGAGCAGTGACTTTAGTGATCTGTTTTGTGGATGGACCAGACAGGACACGCATTGTGCAACACATTAAAAGGACCGATATGGGGAGCCCGGGAGCTGGAAATGCCAAACTTTGCCTCCTCTATATTGACTGATGACGTTCAAACGTCTACTTTGAGGTTTTGTTTTTAAGAGTGGATTTGTCGCATGCAAGATTTAAAAAAAAAAAAAAAGGAGTCACACTCAGGACTGTACTGTATTGTGTCATAAAGTAACTATTTGACCTTCATTTTCTTCTGGCCATACAGCAATACATTTAAAAGCAACACTCCCAAAACAAATACATAAATTACAAAAATATCAATCTAATTGACAAAAATGAATAAAAAGGACATTTTTGGTCTAATTCGAGATTTTTCGCTATATATATTTTTTTTGTTGTTGTTTTGTTTGATAATATCTCCTCCCCGCTACCCCCCAATTTATTTGTGTAATTTTGTTATTTTCCTTATGTATAATAAACTTTGCTGACACATTCCCTCCATCCTACGGCACCAAAGAATAAACAGTCGTCATATTTCTTACCGAAGGCCCGAGCAGGCGCTGAGGGTAACATCAGAGTTGGGATGCGCCTGCACTTCCCCTTGGTAGTAGCAGTTTTTCTAAAATAAAAAAAAAAAACATGCAAAGATATTAGCACAGTTACTATTGAAAAATAGTGGCGCCGTGACGTTCGACGAAGTGCCACTTGATCATATAGTCAAGCGAGGATGCATTCAGTTGCATTGTGGTCCGTTTTGATCCAACGTTATTGGAGGGGATGCTGCCTAGCACCATCGCATGGCACAGCTGGTGGAGCAGCAGCCAGGGGGTATCTTTCAACACCCAGATGCTGATGCAATGCCGTTCAATTACATGCCACGTCAAAATAGAACTGTGTGCTCACAGCTATAGGTGACCTACATTACGTCACCTTTGGCATATGAAAATACAATGTCGTAAAAAAAAAAACAAAAACATTTTGACTGAGTGTGATTTTTCTTTTCACTTGCAGCCAGGAATGGCTCAGCTGGTAAAATGGGATTCCATAATAAAACCCTGATGGCAACATTGGCTGGAAATAATTTTTTTTAAAAAAAAACAGAGCTTATCAACAAGTAGGCCACTGGATAAATGTCGTGCTCCGCTACGGCCACACGCTCCCACGCATCAGGTCACGTTTATAGTGATGAGATCATTCCGGTAAAAACAGGCTCATTCAAGTCCGATTGGCACGTCGTCGATGCATTTGTGTGTGGCGTTCGCTGCTTTTGGCGTCGTACCGTCGAGTTGTGCGCAGCGGTGAGAACGCATCCGTTGTTCTGGTAGTGCGTCTCCGTGTAATGGCTGGCGAAAAGACCCCTGTGAAAAAGAGACACGATGGGATTAGGAATGTGGAGAAGGAGATTCTTAGATGTTCAAGAGAAGATTCAGTGAGGGGATTTGTGAGGTGGGGGGTGGGGGGGCGGGGGGATTCTCTCATGCGAATGTCTGCCATGATTAGAACAGCATCTCTGTAGAGGTAATTATTTTGTGTGTGTGTGTGTGTGTGTGTGTGTGTGTGCCTGAGTGTGTGTGTGAGTGTGTGTGAGCCCCACCCTGTGCGTAGGCCAACTAGTGCAGCTGCATCACGTGGATGTCAGGCGGGATGATGTCAGTGTGCGTGTGCGCATGGTTTTGTGTGTGCATGTCTGTGTGTGTGTGTGTGTGTGTGTGTGTGTGTGTGTGTGTGTGTGTGTGTGTGTGTGCACGTGCATGATGTAGTACTAAAATATATTGATTTCCCAAGGCAAGTTACACTACAAAAAGACATTTGTCCAAAATTGCCATGTCAAAGCATGGAAAAAAAAAAGTCTGCCACCCCCCCCCCCAAAAAAACAAACAAAAACAAAAACAAAAAAAAAAACCCGTGACTTTTGCACAAGAATCATGTGAGACGTGCAGAAAGGGGATTTTCAGAATGCTAGTCTAAAAGGGAATCATGTCAACAAAACAGTGCCCGAACTTGCCGACAAAATATAACCCCGCCTCTTAAAGGCACATGCAAAAGTGTGTTTTAGGGTTCTTCCTTGATCGCAGGTTTTTAACGGTTTGCGGGTGATTCTGGAATGTATCGCCCACGATAAAGGGGGCGGACTGTAATATTAGTAACAGGTGCACTCTGCATAATGTAACATGACGATATCGCCATGAGGGCAAGCGGGGATGCGCGTCGCACTCCAGATTGGATTAGCGACACGTGCGCGGTAAATCCAAGCAAAAAGCTCCCGTGCTGCATGTTGGCAACATGTTTGGGGAAAGCCAGCTTAGATCCGAGTGGCATGACCATACATCGCGTATTAAAGCCGCCGCTTTTTGATCTCCTGGAAGCTGCCTGTAATCAAATACTTGGCGAAAGCACTCGAGTTGATGTTTACCCGATCACGGTTTTTGACGGGGCAGCACGGGATCCACCATTTTTCCATCTTGACATTCCAACTCTGCCCCGCCTCTTTCTCTCTCTCTCTACCCCTTCCTCCCATACACACACACAAACATGTCAATGCTCTCAAATAAAGGAAGCATTCCCGTTGTGGCCGAATATAAAAGAAAAATGTGGAGGTTCGCACTCGACTGCAACTAAGACGGGCACGAGCGAGGACGAGAGAAGAAGAGAACTCATGCACCGCAGTCCTGAGGATTTTGCTCTTTTCATTCCGTTTCTTTGTACGCCGCGAGAAAGTGAGGAGACGCTCGGCTGTGTGCAAATCAATTTGGAACCCGGCCGCATGTGGAAATAGAATTAGCGCTGTCGAGCCCACCTCTTCACTTGCTCTCTCTGCTCGTGTAATATTAGCAACAGCAGTCGTAAAAGTGGTCTTCTTCTTCCACATGGGGCCCTCCAGCAACTATGGTATAGAAAGGCTTTGGGTTGCACTGATGGTGAAGGGTGGTGGGTGGGTTGGGAGGGCGATTAAAAGAAAATCACCACAGTTAGCAGTTCCTCTTCAAAGGAAGCGTGCAGGGGAAGCCACGCTTCTTGCCAATGGTTTCATGCTCGAGGGGCTTTGCGCGGTGCTGAATTATTACGCGGAGTCACATGTACAGTATGTAAATGAGCCTGCGATCTGTGCTGGATGCTGTGCTGTCGGAAGAGATGGCAAAAGTACTCGCCCTGTACTTGAAGCCCCGTAAAAGTGAAAATAAATCGGATACACCACAGAGAAAAAACGGTGTTGTTCGCAGCCGTGCCAAATTTGAATCATTTCAAAAGACAAATTGCAAAGAATATGGAATGAGCAACAAAAAAACTATGATGTCGGCATTAATGTGCTTGAAACCGAGCCCTGCTGAAAAATGTCATTGTGAATCTTGTTGGCTCCACGTACGTTTTGATCCAAGTATCACAAATGCAAAATTAGTTAATAATGATGAAAAAAAAAAGTATACTTTTGTAATTTTGTTGTAAGTTTGTCTGCAGTCGATTGAGAATTTTCAAATTCTAGAATCTTGTGGGTTTTTTTTTTTAAAGGCTTTTATGTGACAACGCATTTGTTGCAAAACGTCCCTGGAATCGAAAACATCAAACAATTCTCTTGACGCTGGATGGGGAATATCTTGCTTGTCTGAATCAGTTCCCATCATTGTTAAAGGATTCATTTTCCTTCATGTCAAAAAAAAAAAAAAAAAAGTAACAAGCATATCGCGACAAGTTATTGGAGTTAAAAGTTCAGCTCTAGAGTGAAAATAAAGTCATCAAGTCAAGTGCCTAGAAAAGTATTTGAATTGCTTCCACTGACTGTTTTCAATACGTACTAATGTCAAAAAGTCCTTTGAACAGTTGTAACAAATCCAATAAGACAAATTCACGCTGACTTTTTGTCTGCGCATCCCAATGTCATTTCAGGTACAACGCAGCCAGCTATAAGGTCACGTGACTCACAAAAGAAGACGCATTTTCTACGGCGCTCTGTAATGAGTTTTTCTGCTGCGTCCATGTTGGTATGATCCCCAGCGCCTGCGAGTGTCCACAAATCTCCGCTGAGCATGAGCCGAGTGCATTGTTGGACTCATAGCCTTGACTGCTAAGCAATTATGGGGAAGAGATGGGGAGGCGGGGGAGGGGGGGGGCAGGAATATGTAAGGGAGCGACAGACTACTGTGGATAGCAAGTTGAAAGGTCAAGAATGGCAGCCCAACATTGCTGTGTTTGCAGTGTCGGTGTGGATGACATTGACATGATCCTCCTGGAGATGGTGATAAGCCGCAACCCCTTGGGGACAAGATTTGAGTCTTCCCGGACACTGACATTTTTTTTTGTATTTATTTATTTATTTCGTTTTATGATGTGAATTTTGTTCGGTCATTGAAAATGTATTTTGGGAAGACTCCCAGCTCCAACTCCAGCTCCCACTCTGACCCCGAACAGGATTAACAGGAAAGCATATACAGTAGGAAGGCTCATTTCCAGGCTGAACTGGAAGGAAATTTGAGAATCATTGATGGCCAAGTGAATTTTTTTTTTTTGATGCCTTCATGACTAACCTTCATGTCATTTTCTCTCTATTCTTTTTTTTTTTTAATCTTCTCTTCCATCATTTCTTCTTTTACAACCTGAGAAATGACAGCAATTTGCTCACAAATTGTTTTATGGACAAACACCTTTGAACAATTTAGTCTGCAATTTATCATTGTTGTTATTGCACCTTTTGCGGGCTTCTGACAAGCCGAATGGCCTCGTGATTGGGAGTTACAGCGCCACCTTTTACTTCAAATGGCCATTTTCCTGTGGACTAACGACATTCGTATTGGAAATAAATCCTGCGGAAAAGAGTTTTATGAGGCGCCGACGTTTATTTTGATCGATGGTTTGTGAGTTTAGATGAACAGGAGATCATTTTTGAAGGGAAATAACAGGGTTTGTTTCCCCGGCTATTAAGAGCATCTCATTCATCACAATTAACCCTCTGCGACCATTAGCGCATCCATAATTAGACCGCCGTGTCTGGAGATCCAGAGCGGCCGCACCAAATCGATGTGCGCCAACTCAAGCAATTACGGGAGCGCCACAAGTTGCAAAGACAAAAGTGATGAGGGAAGTAAAGTCAAGGTAGTCACTCAGCAGGAAGTAAAGGGATTGGAGTCAACGGGCTGGGTTTTGTGAAATGTCAAACATGATCGATTGACAACAGTAAAATAAGAAATGTAACGACCGCGCCATCTCGAGTCGGCCGATTAACAAAGGCACATTCCATTTTGGACACACTTGTGAATATCTGCCAACGAATATAACAATATTCAGAGACATTATTTATTCGTTGCCAAAATGAACATTTCTAGGGCTTGTGTAGAACGGATTAATGCCATTGCCATTCATTTTAATGGGGGAAGATGACCTGATGTAACCAAGCTGAATACGAAATACATTAGCTGTATACACACACACACACACACACACACACACACACACACACACACACACACACACACACACACACACAGTCAACCTCGTTTAGGCCACTGAACAAATGTTGTGCCATTACCAAATTTCTACATACCCACTCAATCGACCATGGGACTGACATTAGCACCGGCAGAGTCATAAAGCAGATCAATGAGACAGATAGTAGACTAAAATTTGCCTGATATAAATTGCCAAACAAACACACGAGCTGGCAGGGTGAGGCCATTTACATAATGACTGCCACGAGCTCCTTAACGATATCAGAATGTCTCGCAGAAGCCACAAGGAAAAACAGCTGGTTCCCTTTGAGAGATTAACTGGCAGAAGCTAGGCACAGCAAATGTATCTTCGGAGAGATTATTCAGGACTAGCTGTGGCGCGTCGTATTTATATGCACCAACTCACCCAAAAGTAGTGAAGGCCGACAGCGTGAGAGATGTTTCTATTTTATATTCAGGGTACACACCTTGCCAGCACATTCGCTCCAAGGCCAGGGACATCGGCACAAGTCAAATTAAACAGAGTTGCGGTCCGATGACAATATCGTTTTAAGGTGACCTTTGTGTCTCTGTGCTTCAGACATTATTAAAAAAAAAAAAAAAAAAGATTTAGAGTGGGAATAGCAAAACCTCACAGGTGCTGGGAGTGAATGGACAAGAGTGAGCAACACCCTGCTTTGTAAAACACATAAAAAAAGAGCTACAGCCAACACTAAGGTGTTCATAAAAAAGGAGGATGCTTGTAGCGAGACTCGTGGTAGGTTTTATGACGTTTTTTTTTTTTTTTTATAGGTGATATCAAGCATGATGGAGGAATACAAAGTATGACAACCTACATCGTGTACAACTTTAAATCGCTCCATTTAAGGAGGCGCGGGACATTTTGACACACTTGTGACAGTCAAAGTTATTCATCCAGC